TGCATTCGCTTCTTTGTTGATTGCAAACAATGGGGATATCTACAGCTTCGGGAGTGAACAGCCCTTTCTACAAACATTGCGGGGACGACATCGGCGCAGTGCAAAAAAGCTACAGATGGAATCTTCACCTCAGCGGGTGATCATTCAGACGCTGCTTGCTATGATGGACGGAAACTCACCACAAGAAGTCAGTCTCGCCTACTCCACCCTTCGATCCGTTGTGTCGGCTTCTTCGTCAGACATGCTGCTCCTTCAATCTTGGCCTGTCGAATCGAGGACTGCTTTGGAATATCTCCAACAATATCCAATCAAAGCGAAGTCTCAGCGTGTCCGCGGCATTGACGGACTTGAGGCGGCTGTCGAGTGTCATATGGAGTCTGAATTCCAGAAATGGATCAGCGAGCTGGCTATCTTGCTGAGCGACGTGCTTAGTGCTGTAGACCCATTTTACGCACAATTCTCAACGTTTTTGGAGTGCGACGTTTCTTTTGCCGATGAAATGCTTCCCGTATTGGTCCACACTTTGCTGCAGAACGAACTTGATCAGCCAGAATCAGAGGGGATGCCCTCGAAATCTCGTCTGTCAGAATATTTCAGCGCCATGCTGGTGTTGAAGAATGTCCATTTGTCCTGCTTAAGGTCTATTGTCGGCGTCGTGCTTCACCTTCGCAACTTTTCCCCGAAAGGCACAAATGATTCCCTGGCTCACGACAAATGGCTTGATATCGATTACATGCTCCTTGCAAGAAGTGCAGTGACGTGCGGCGCGTACACGACTGCTCTTTTATTCCTCGAGCTCGCGGAAGAGTACCAGTCCTTGGACATGGACAATACAGCAGGCACAGAACATCTCCTTTTCGAAATCTACAGTCATATCGACGAGCCCGATGGATTTTACGGGATCAAGACTGCTGATCTACGGCATTTCCTCATCAAACGCTTTCATCATGAGAAGCAGTGGGAGAAAGCATTTCGTTTTCATGGTGCTGCCCTTGAGGCTGGAAGCCCTGAGGCAGTCGACACGGACGGTCTGCTCAGTTCTTTCCATGCTTTCGGCTTTGACCGTCTTGCCATCGGCACTCTTCAGACGTCCCAGATTGGCCTTGACACGAGGAATTCCTCGTCTGCCATGTGCTATCAGCTGGGTTGGCGTACTGAGACCTGGGACTTGCCCGACAATACAGGGGATAGTTCCGGAGCCACGCTTTATCAGGCGCTGCGAGCAGTGTATAGGGAACGGGACCCGCGGGTAGTAGATGTGATTGTTCGCAGCTCGCTTGACGATGAAATGACCCGCCTACGGCAGCTTGGCACTGAGAACATCTCAGGTATCCGCGAGGTCGCTCGCAACATAATGTGTCTCGGTCAGATTACCCAGTGGAGGAGTCATTCTATGCAGCAACAGTTTGCAAGCAAGTCAGAAGATATCTGCAATCTGCCCAAGCTCGATGAAATTAATCCCGACTTTGAGTAAGTTGTGACAATGATTGTAATCTAGCTTGCGTTAATCTTTTCCATGTACGACAGATTTACCGATTTGGAACAGATCCTTGCAACGAGGATCTCATTGATACGGTCGGTCAGGCAGAGAGAGGAACGAAAGCAAATTGGCAGTCTCGCTACGCCATTTGTCCGTGGGATTCTAGACATCGAGAAGCGATGCCTCGTTCGCCTGTCCATTGCCGCTCGGAAATCTAATCAATTGCAAGTGGCATTGAACTCTATCGTAAAATCACAACGGCTCGAGAGCAATGCCAGCTTCGAAGTTGCTCGTGAATTTGCCAACGTTCTGTGGCTCCAGAAGGAGCAAAAGCTGGCAGTGCAGTACCTCAAGGACTTGGTGAATGGTCAGGACTTGGGTGTTGATGGTGCGATAGAAAAGGCGTTGTCATTCGCCCGACTAGTGCGTTCCTTTTTTCTGTAATAATGCAGGTTATTCATGTCTTTGACAGGGAGACTGGATCGCCGAGGCATGCCTAGAAAAACCAACCGACATAAAGCGCAAATTCTTTGATCCTGCCGTCGAGCTCGCCATCGCAGCCGAGAAGCGGACGGACGTTCGCGATCACGCATGTGCCACCGTTTTCCGCAAGTGTGCACTTTTCGCAGACCAACAGTATCATTCGATCCTGAAGTCGTCAGACGCCATGCGCTGGCACATATATAAAGAGCGCAAGAAACAGGAGGTCAAACAGAGAGAGAGCCAGCTGCAGAAAACTCAACAAGGAACAAACGAGTACCTGGTATTAGTTGAAGAACAGAAAAGGGCGAGAACTGTACTAGCTGAAGATTTGAAAACCTATGCGTGCCATACAGAGGCGCGAGACGCATTCCTTGAACTGGCTATTGACATGTACTCTCGCTGTTTGGCTTCCTCCGATCGCTTTGATGACGATGGTCCTATCCGGTTCTCATCCCTTTGGTTCGCGAATTTCGACGACCTCGGTATCCAGGACAAGCTCAAAGCCGCTCTCGATCGCGTGCCCTCCCGCAAATTTGTCTTCCTCTCTCATCAGTTGTCTGCTCGCATGTCAAAATCCTCATCAGAGATCCCGAAGAACCAACACAATCTTCAAGGACTCGTCTTGCGCATGTGTCAAGAGCATCCTTTCCACAGCCTGTACCAGGTATTCTGTTTGCGTCCAGAACAAACCCAGGGTGTACGAAGGACTTCCTCACGATCTGAGCTCGCATCATCGCAGTCCGATCGCGGTGGAGCTGCAAGCGCCATCTTCGATAGGCTGCTCAGCGATCCCACACAAACAGCGAGGATTCGATCGATTGAGCAGGTCTGTAGCGCTTCTCTGGAATGGGCCAAATATCCCGTCAAGCATCCTGCAATAAAGAAAACCAATAACGGGTTCCTCATTCCTGATGCCTTACCCATTCGGAAACTGCGCGACGTTCAGGTTCCTGTCATCACCTGCCGTACACCCATCGATCCAACCCTCAAGTACAATGATTGTATCTGGATCAGTCGCTACCACCCAGAATTTACCACAGCCGGAGGTGTCAACCTCCCGAAAATCAATATCTGCTATGGGAGCAATGGGGAGCAATTTAGACAGCTCGTCCGTCATCTTCGCAAATTTTATACGTGTTCTAACATCAGGGATTTCTGCAGTTTAAAGGCGAGGGCAACGATGATATGCGGCAGGATGCTGTCATGGAGCAAGTCTTCCACCTGTGCAACATGGTGTTGCGCTACGATAAAGAGACTCGAAGACGGAATCTTAACGTCCGTGATTACAAAGTTCTACCTCTCGCCACCCAAGCCGGAGTCATCGAGTTCGTAGGCAATACCATCCCCCTCCAAAAATGGCTCCTTGAAGCGCATCTCAGGTATCTATTCTTACTTTCCGTTTTTGCAAAATTGAAAGTCACGCTCTCATAGGTACCGTCCTGGCGACTTGAAACACGCACAGATCCTAACGATGTTAAAACAAACGCGCGAGAAACACGGTGGAAAGACCGAGGCGATGGTCAAAACCTTCCAATTGATATGCGAACGAACTCAACCCGTGATGAGGCACTACTTTACCGAGAAGCATAAAACCCCCATCAACTGGTTTGCCATGCGTCTTAAATACACTCGCAGCGTCGCTACCACTTCCATCGTAGGGCACATTCTAGGTCTCGGGGATCGTCATGTACAGAATATATTGATCGATAATGGATCGGGAGAGGTAGTGCATATTGATTTAGGGATCGCTTTTGACCAGGTGCGTTTGTATCGTGTCTGACCAAGCATCTACTCACTCTACACAGGGAAAACTGTTGCGTATCCCAGAAAGAGTACCATTCCGAATGACACGGGACATGGTCGATGGGATGGGGAAGTGCGGGACGCAAGGCGTGTTCCAACGCTGCGCAGAAGAAACCCTCCGTGTGTTGCGTGACAGGTCAGACGTCATACTCACCGTGCTTGAGGTATTCAAACACGATCCGCTGCATTCCTGGTATGTTTACTTTTTCCTCCCCATATTCGACGTTGACTAACCCCCAACAGGACGGCGAGCGAGCTCAAGATTAAAAAAGTGCAAGACAACACAGCGGAGCCTACCCGAGTTGCCCGGGATGTGTCCCGCTTCGGTGCCATCGGCCTAGACCTACAGAGTGGGTCAGCAGACGAAGCTGCTGATCGTGCGCTTGCAGGCGTCGCACGCAAGCTCGGAAAGGATTTGAGCGTGGAGTACACAGTCAATGAACTAATAGCGGAGGCTACGGATATCGTGAACTTGGCGACTATTTACCACGGTGAGTTTTGGTCGTGTTCCGAATTATAGTCTGATTGATCGCTGACTGACTTGGTAGGATGGAGCCCTGACTACTAGACGTTCAGGACGTTTTAAAATCAAATGATTCTTCAGCTCCTTATGCTTTGATATCGCTTTCACGGACTACGAAAGTTTCGAGTATTCAATTCAATAGTCTCCACGTGCATCTTGTATCCCTAATCATTCCCATTCTATACATCAATCAATCGTGCATACACGATAGACAAAACGATGTCAGATTACATCAATCAAACAACACACGCACAAAAAGAAGAAAATGGGAAAACTCCAACATGGGCGAGCGCAAGAGAAATCCAGTCGTCATAGTGTGTGGTGGGGGTAATCACGGGGGGTAAAACAAACAAACGAGGGAGATAAAGAGAACATCACAAAAAGAAACAAGAAAAAGATGTAAAAAAAGATAAAATTCTTCGACGCGTAATTGTAAAGAAACGCGCGCATTTTCGTCTACAAGTATAGATGAATGGGATGAATGATTTGATACGACATGATTGTTGTATGATATTTGGAACACGAGATGACGGTGGATGCATGTATTACAAAACTCGGTATACGGATTTGGTATCAGCGAGCACGTTACAGTGGGCGGGTAGATGCAAGAGGTAAATGGTTCGGCATGGAGCAACAAGAAGCTTAAAGTTCAGGTGTGGAGCGTGGTTACCGTTATGGGCCAGGACAGGAATGGGATGGGAAACGAGCAGATCACTTGTTCTTAGCGATCTCCCGCGCAGCTTTGATAAGCGGTGAAAGCGTGCGGAGCGGTTCGCACTGTTTAAAGAATGGATGCTTCAAGTAAAAAAACAACATGAGGTCCAATTTACAAGTAACTGAAACCGAGGCGACACACCTGCAACAACTCACTCGCCGTAGGCCGTTTCTCAGCGTCCACTTCCAACGTCTTTGCAAGATAATCACTAAATACTGACGAAAGTGCCTCGGGGTTCGCAATCGTAGGCGTTCCGTTCGTAGCGATCAAATAGAGCGCTTTAAGTGGGTTTTGGTTGAGATATGGGGGTTCGCCTTCTATCATTTCTACATAGATAGATATCTTCGGTAAAGCACAAAACGAATAAAAGAAGAAAAATACATACCGATGGCCATGATCCCCAAACTCCAGATATCAACCTTGGGTCCGTACTCTTTCCTCGTCACCACCTCCGGAGCCATCCAATAAGGCGTGCCTACCATCGTCGTGCGCTTTGAGCTCGCAGGATCTGAAATCTGTGCGCAGAACCCAAAGTCCGCTGCAAGGCACGTCAAAACGACACGTCCACACGCAAGAAAGCTACCCACTGAGTTTAATATCCCCTCCAAGGCTCAACAACACGTTATCACTCTTGATATCCCTATGAATAACGCCATGGCGATGGAGATGCTCCAACCCCTGGCACGTCTCCCTACTCACAGCAGCAATCTGGCCCTCTGTCATTAAGTTCGCAGTAACAACATCTGTCAAGCTCCCGCCCTCCATATACTCCATCACAACCCAAAGATCGTTCTTGTGCAAAAACGAGTCGATGTAGTTTACGATGTTCGGGTGTCGAGAAGCGCGCATGACGAGGATCTCGTTGATGATGAGGTCTTTCTTGGGTTGTTTATCCAGGTCCATTTGCTTGATCGCGACTGATAAATTGGTGCCAACTTGGTATGCTGTGTACACGCCTCCAGAGGCACTGCAAAGAGCTCAGTAAAGGAAAGAAAAAGACAGTACCACTCACCCTTGCCCGATCTTGACGAGGTTTCGGTATAGCTTAGTCGGATCCGCATCGGTGCATATCTGCTGCAGCCGCTTAATGATATCATCTTCCTTGTCACCGCCGCCCTTTTTCTCTCTGCGACGCGGGGTAGCGATGCCAGCTTGCTTTGCGAGGGTTGGGGGTTGTGGGGGTTGTGGTGCGGGCTTGGGCTGGTCACGATCCCTTTCACGTTCTCTTTCACGGTCACGGTCACGGTCACGATCCCGGTCGCGGTCTCTTTGGCCTTTGGTGCTGAGATCAGTCTGACTGGTGCCGATGCTGGGGGATCGGACCCGGGTCATGGTTGTGTTGGCACGTCCCAGGTCCTGGGATTTAGATGATTTGGGGGGAGCTCGTTGGGATGTGCTGCGGTCGAGTGCTGCTGCTGGAAGGGCGGGTGCTGGGCGGATGGGGGTCGTGGCGGGTGATGGGGCATAGGGAATGGAAGGGGAGGGAACGGGCTTTTTGGGTGGTTGAGGGGCGTTGCGCTAGAAGGACACAGGATTAGGTGAGCGGAGATAAAGAAAGTGGGGCATACTGGGTTAACGAAACCTTCGTTGGCACTTGTGGATTGCTCAACGCCTACGGCACCCATCTTGTCCCATACGTCGCCTCTTCCTTCTTGATAGAACTTTACGATTTCCATAACTGCCTGGGGGTTCTTTTCTTGTTCGCTCCTGCTGATACCAGATTCTTGGAGTAGCTGCTGCCATTCCTTTGGGAGACCTGTGAACTCGCCTGTAGAAGAGTTAAAACCAACGTGTGTGAGGTGAACAGGATCGTAAGGAGTGCTGATTTCTGGACGCTTTGAAGGAGCAAGGAAGTCGAACATGCCGCCTAGCATGCCACCCTTTTTGAGCTTTACGGTAGTGGCACTACGACTGCGAGTACCGGAATTTGTGCTTGTGATTGCGGGTAGATCGGGTAGGATGTCGACTGGCTCTGAAGTGTATGGAGTATCTGTGATTGGTACTGATAAACGACGTGTTGCGATGGGGCTACTGCTTGTGAAGATATCGTTCAGAGTTGCGGTGTTTGCTCTACTTGGACGAGTAGGAGGAGCAGGAGACATTTGTTGTTTTATTGGAGCTGCAGCGAAAGGATCTGGAGCTGAAAGGCTATGTTTCCTTCCTCTTGACTGTGCTTTGTGAAGACTATTCCTAACTTTTGGCGAAGAGGGATCGATTGGTGTTTTACTGCGGGTTGATGGTGGTTGTGGTGCAGAGCGAGAAGGAGTTAATGAAGGCAAAGAACTTGTTGAATAAGGATCTTTGTAACTGTAAGTAGCCGCTTGAGCTACTGTAGCAGCAGCTAGAGCTGGGTCCGCTAGTAGATCCGTGTATTCTTGAACGCTCTCTCTTGAAGGACGATGATATTCTATTGTGATTTTACTTTGACGGCGTGTTGAAGATGGCGTGTGTCGATGGACACTCATCGCGGCTGCTGGTAACCGTTGCTGCTTTGATGGTTGGCAACCTAGCGAGTGTGAATAATTTTGGCGTCCCTGCGAATGACGATCAAGACAACCAAAATTTAAATCGCCAATGTCGATCAAGTCGATGTCTTCGAGCAGTTTGTTGGATCTAACAAGTCTTTGCTCGATGCAAGGAACGCCCTACTCGACTTTTGATGACAAAGCTTTCTCAGGTAACACGTGAGTGACAAGCCAGCAAATGAAAAATTTCGGTGAAAGCAGACCGATTTACGGATACAGTGACCCCTGGTGTCCCTCCTCGGGGTCCTTTTCAGCCTAATAGGGGTGCCTATTACCTCCGATTGTAACGGGCATTCATCCCGCCGGTACTGCCTAAACAGGACAAAAACTGTTTACGTGGCGAAAACTCAAAGATCTCAGGTCCTGAACTCTGCACACGAAATTTTAAAGGGGCTTTCAACTCCCAACTCCATTATCCGGATCCATGACCTGCCATGACCTGCCGCACTGCCAGCGGAGAGTGCGATGTAAAAACTGACGGCGACCCAAACCCTCATTTCAAGCGTCCTGAAATCGACCAAGCAATACACATAGACCAAAAAAAGATCGTGGAAGACTGTATGGAAGAGAAAGGTGAAAGAAAAGAACTTCCAGAGCTGCGCGGTCGTGATAGGGGTCGTCCTCCCATATTGAAGAAAAAGAAAAGCTCGTACGACTTGCGCGACATCTTTCAAACTCAAGAGGCGGCTTCATCTGCCTCTTCCGAATCGTCGCCAGTCACGAGCAACATTTCATCGCCGGTCATCCCATCACCAGACATGAACAAAGTCATTTCACCAGCTGAAATTATCACCGCACCTGTTCAGCAGCAGCAGACGACTCCACCCAACCGTAAGTCTTCTTCTGATACAAACGTTCCATTACTAATGTCGAAAGACGATTCACGACCTCACGACAAAACCGCGCCCGAGGTCAAAGTATAAGATGCATCTACTAAGATGTTTCACCTTAGCAAAACTTTAACCGGACGCTACTCAATCGAAATATCTCATCAAACACGGGTCCAGACCCAGGCCACTGACATCACGTTCATGTTCATCTTTTTATTTTGTGCATATCATCATGATCTTCTCACACACATACCTTCCAAACACAGCTCCCATTGTAGCCACAATCTCACATCTCACGCACTGATTCAATGTGGAATTGAACATCGTTATGCTGTTAATCGCACTCCGTCAGACGTTTCAGTGCAGGATCTAACACAAAATTAAAAATGATTCGATGCGCAACAGGCAGCCAGATCAGGGGTTTAAGATATTTCCGGGCGATTTTCGTGCAGCATACTGCTCAGAGTTGCGAGCGGCAAAGAAGGAAAGGACCGCGTGAGTCGCTAGGTTAATCAAGTTTTAAATCAGGCGAAACAGGCGAAAATGACCCACTTGTTCTAACTAATTTCAAACTCCACCTTCCCGTCTGGACTTCTACACCCTTAGTCTATGACAGATTAGATCAACCTCGTCGACCGTACTGGGACTCGCCGGATATCTTCCAGTGAGATATTCAACTTCGTACTTCGGAGTCGACACCCCAAATTTAACCTCATCCGTAGCGCCAGGTCTGTCCCTTTTGTAACCAACCAAATCTATTTCCGACTCACTCCAATCAGTTTCCGGATCAATCACATAAATATACACCCCAAATTTAAGTAGGACCGCCCTCATCCGTAGTGCCAAGTCTGTCAATGATTGGACGAAAAAATGAGCTCGCAGTTTACAATACCGGAGACATAGCAAGGTCCATGACTCGTGAACATTATCATCGTTAAAGAGCCTCCAGAGGCGCTTCACGCGGTTCTAAATCAGATTTTACGCTGTAAATCCCTGCATGCTGGCCCCATTACCGTGATGTCCGAAGTGATATAGTGCGACTGCGAGCTGGTCAGCTAGGGGAAGTTATCATTCTGGGAGTTATTAGTAAACACATGATCAGATGCAAGTTTAGTCTAGTTGAGATTACGCTGCATCTTATCTCGCAGAAAGTGCTAATGTCATCACTAAACGACTGACGTTCGTCGAGGACCAGGGCATCGTCCGAGAAGATGTCGATACTAACCCAGTCGTTCTCATGGGGTACAAGAGTGATGTTGGAATCAATAGACAAGCGTTTGCAGTAGAGGTCTGGCGAAAGTGAGAATGATGCAAGGAGTGCAGACATCAGAATGCGTGATCGGGGCGGACTCGGGTATTGTTTTTGTCGATTCGATTATACGGAATTCAAGTTGAGATAGAAACTGGAATGACTGCAAATGAGGGGAATTATCATTAGGCATGCAAGTAGAGGTTAAGGCATATATGTTTCCCGTCTATTCGATTAAACGCGATTGAGATGTAGATGAAAATGGCTTAAAATAAGATGGTTCGACAGACTGAGGCGTAGTAACGGAGTGGCCACGTTGGTGTCATTAGCGTATGGAGAATTAAAGGAGCTATCATCATCCTTGGAAACGGCGGGCATGTGCTTATTCTCGTTGCTGAGGATTTGTGCAGCTTTGTGGGCGGCGGGAACCAGCGTGATCGTTGAAAAGCAGACAGACTCGGAGTACTAAGTATACAACGAGGCCAGCAGAAACCTTCTCTTCTTTGGACCGGACCTGTCGACGACAACCTGTTTAAAGCAAGAGACTGAAAGGAAACCAATGATAACAACGCTCATGGTGGAGGAGATCGTGGTAATTGGGTGACATAAAGATTGCAAAGTGATGTGTTATTGACAATTGTGTATTATTATAACAGTCACGTGTTCATAAAATCAACAGGGCTTATGTAGAACGTCACGACAACTCGCTTAGTGAAGCTCATGGGATCACATTCTGAGCTAACAAAGACAAGGCATGTCCCCACATTAACATTTATCCAGTGAATTTCACAGCGTACTTACTGTATTGCAAAAAGCTCGCACCTTGAATAGTGATGATTGTGTTCAGCATACCCGGCCAACCCAGTTGACGTACACTGCGATGGATCCGAACTTGAGTGGTTCCATGGCCATACTCATGGTCTGATAGTTTTGCACACGGACCATCTAAATTCCCCGCTGTCAATAAAACGTCCGCCACATGTCCCGTTTCATTCCAGACTTTCATTTTCAGTACCAAGATGGTGTCTTCTCCTCTCTTCCTAGGCTTTGACTTGTCCACTCAACAGCTAAAGGCAATCGTGATCGCGGAGGATACCTCCATCGTGCATGAGAGCGCCGTGCATTTCGATCGCGACCTTCCCGCTTATGGCACAACGAATGGTGCAGTCAATGGCCCAGATGAAGGTGAGGTTACGAGCCCCGTGCTCATGTGGCTCGAAGCTATCGATCTCGTCATGCGGCGCGTCAAAAATGCTGGTGTTGACGTCAGTGCTATTGCTAGTATATCTGGTGCTGGACAAGTGCGTTTATACAGTTTTAGTGTGAGGTGAAGCTGATTCATATGTGAATCAAGCAACACGGTTCGGTGTACTGGTCCAAGGGGGCCGAGAAGGCCCTTGCTGCGATGGATCCCAAACGTTCTCTGGCTGACCTGGGCCATCTCGCACCCTGTGCATTTGCATTGCCCAATGCACCCATCTGGCAGGACTCTTCGACAACCAAGGACTGCCGTGACCTTGAGGCTGCTGTCGGTGGTCCCCATGTACTTGCAGATCTTACGGGAAGCAGAGCCTATGAGCGGTTCACAGGACCCCAAATTGCCCGGGTGCGTAGTGCATACTTTATTACCAGTGACCAATGATTGAGCATCAATTCTTGCTCTACGAAGATCCGTCGCCTCAAACCCGCCGCCTACCGTGACTCTGCACGTATATCTCTTGTCTCGTCGTTCATCCCTTCACTGTTCCTTGGGCATATCGCTCCGATCGAGGTCTCTGATGCGAGCGGGATGAACCTAATGAATGTACTCACATGTAAGTGGGATGATGCACTCCTTAAAGCATGCGGCGGTCCCGAACTACGCGCTAAAATTGGCCCTGAGCCTGTCGTCGGTGGCACCATTCTTGGACGCATCTCCAAGTGGTGGGTTGAGCGCTGGGGATTCAACCCAGGTCCGCATTTCACTCTTCGTTGGATGGCAATAGTGCTCATCTGTAGTATCTGTAGATTGCATAATTGCACCGTTCACAGGTGATAACCCTGCAACCGTCGTTTCCATTTCAGCACCAGGTGATGCAATCCTGTCTCTAGGCACGAGCACAACACTTCTGTTGAGCATTCCTCCTGCCAACTCGCCTCCCGCCCGTTTTACTACATCGCACCTCCTCTCGCACCCTACAACTCTCGATGCGCAGATTGCGATGCTTTGCTACAAGAATGGTGCTCTTGCGCGAGAGCAGATCCGCGACCGCTGTGCTGGCGCAGACTGGGTAAGGTACAACGATATCGTGGAGCAATCACCGCATGGTAACTCTGGGTTCATGGGATTCTACTTTCCCCTCCCCGAGATCATTCCTCCAGGAGTCCAGGGCGAATTCATGTTCCAGTGCAAAGATGCTGAAGAACCACAACTAGTGCATGGACTGCAGCCAGATGCCCCACAGCATGCACGCGCAATCCTCGAGAGCCAATTCCTCAGCATCAAATCTCGCATTGCTGCTATTCTTCCAGCGCATTCACCCCCACTGCAGCGGCTGATCATCACTGGTGGTTCATCGGCAAACCAGACGATCCGGCAACTTGCCGCTGACGTGTTTGGGATGCATGTTTACGTTGCAGAGAGCAAAGAGGCTGCGGGGACGGGAGGCGCAATGCTTGCGAAGTTTGCGTGGTGGAAGGCACAAGTTGGGGGCCCGAGTGGGAGCTTCGAGGGGATGACAATGGAAATGGGTCAGGTGGAGAGGATGAAAATGGTTGCAACTCCGAAAGGTGAGGTGACCAAGGTGTATGATGGTCTCGTGGATAATTATAGGCGATGCGAGGAGCGGGTGGTACACCTATATGGGCAAGCGTGACGCAAGCCTTTCGCGGATTTACATCTACACATGTACAGAGCATCATTAGACCATACTATATCCTCACATTGTTATCAGTAAATATATTGATTTTTATTAGAATGGACGACCAGGCCAGCTGCAGCCTTCCCTCGTCTTATAAAAGTCTGTTTTTTGGGTTTCATGCACACATGTTCCAAGTAACTTTGCGATCACCATAATCGGCATCTTCTGAAATTCGAACTCGATTATATGTGGAGACTTTTTCAGTACACCCTTCATCGGGCACCACAACTGGTATGTTCACCGGTCTATTGTCTGGCTGATCTTACATCAAAAATAGACATTGTGTAGGAGGAACATATACGTCATGTATGACCTGCAGGGCTCAGAGCAGCCACATTCTCCCCCTGCCAAACGACCAGTCACCGAAATGCAAGCAGGGAGCTCAGAGTCCTTCAAACGCATGAGGATTGAACACGAGGAGCCCGAGAAGACATTACATTCAACCGAGCATGAAGGTCCTTCCGATACTCCTGCCGCTGATACGAAGCAAGGAAAGCCGCGCGATGCAGCGGGCTGGGCGAAGTCCAGGCGGGGAAAAGCCAAAGATACGAAGAACAAGGGACGCAGACGTGGGACGCGTAATCAAGATAAAGATGGCGAAAAAGAGGGTGACGAGCAGGGCCCTAGAGCCCCGCGCCTGCCTAAGAGACAGAGCGCATTGCTTATTGGGTTCTGCGGGACGGGATGCAATGGAATGCAAATGTACGCTCAATTTTGGATTTTCTCTTTCGTCTGCAGATTTTTGGCAGTTTCTTTTCCTGTCCTCTATCTCCGCCTACTAGGCAAAATATTTATATTTTTTTCCTGTCCTCCTGCTATCCCTGGACTGCTGAACATGCGTGTGTAATGACAGACAACCCGACGTGCGGACGATTGAAGGTGTCCTGTTCGACGCACTCGTGCGTGCCGGAGCAGTCTCGTCGGACAATGCGGACGACCCCGTAAAGGTATGACACTTGCATGGCGCATGTCATGATGTGTTGTTCAGAGCCATTCATATCTCCAGGTAAATCTAGGGCGGGCTGCTCGCACTGATGCGGGAGTCCACGCAGCTGGCAACCTGGTATCTATGAAACTGATCACCGCGATTCCTGGGGTGGAAGACTGGGTGGCACGTGTAAACGAAGAACTCCCACAAGAGATTCGTGTTTGGGGCTCCGTATGCATTCTCTCCTTTTCAAGGAAGGAATTAACTTTGAAGTGGTTCAGGTCCGCGTGCAAAATTCATTCAATGCTCGCATGTGGGTTCACGAGTGTCATTTCACATCGTTCATTTACAAGCTTTCTTTCAGGTCTTGCGACAGCCGCAAGTATACATACTTCTTTCCGTCGTATCTCCTTATACCTCCAAAGCCGGAGTCAGGATTTCAGCGTGCATATGAAAAGCATGCACAGTCCATGCAGGGCGTGGTCCCTCTAGATGCTTCCGCTCACTGCTTCTGGAGTGCACCTGACTCTCATTCTTCCACTCCTATGGATGACCTCCTACGCAAGCGCTCATGGAGGATAAGTTCAGACCAGGTAGAGCTCATCCGTCAGACTGCAAATAAGTTCGAAGGAACACATAACTTCCACAACTTTACTATTGGACGCGAGTTCGGAGATCGCAGTAATCAGCGGCATATGTGGAAAATTGAGGTAGGCTGGTGAGATTGTAGTTTGTCAACCTCACACAACATCTCGACAGATTTCTGATCCTGCGGTCTACGGAGACACTGAGTGGATAAGTGTCCTCTTCCACGGGCAGAGCTTTATGTTGCATCAGGTAAGTTCGTTTTCACTGATAACGTCCCTCTTATTCACTTTATTTAGATCGTAAGGGTTTGTACTTTGGTAACAGTGACACGATGACAAATTGGTCGCAGCGTAAAATGATGTCTGCCCTTATCTTGTCTTGTAGAACAGGTACACCAAGTCAAGTCATTGACGAGGTTAGCTTTCATATTACCTGATGCAACTACTGTCTAACTTTTCTTGCAGTTATACGGGCCGCGCGTGGTCATGATTCCAAAGATGCCTGCTCTTGGTCTCCTACTGGAGTATCCGATATTTGACTCATATAACAAGAAAGTTACTTCGAACAATGAGAAGCTCGAGCCTTCTCATCCAGATTACCGACCCGAAATTGATTTCGAAAAACATCGAGAATCTATCGATGCATTTAAACAGACCTTTATTTATGATAACATGCGGTCCATTGAGGACCGCGACGGGGTGTGGGTACCTCTGATCGTGTTCATTGCCACTTAACTAATGAAAAGAAACAGTTTTGATGCGTGGGTGCGCTCAATCGACTCGTATGGAGGTGATGATCTGCTGTATTTGAACCCGAAAGGTATCATTCCTGCGGCTGCCGTTATAAAGAAGGGAGAGAAGAGAGAGAATTCATTCAAGGAGAAGAGAAAGTTTGACCTGACGAGTTTCCCTGATAAACAAGGTGTCCCGACCCTAGAAGACGAGGAGGAGACAGAGAGCAAACTCAATAAATCCCGCCTGGAGGACATGGAAGGCTAACTAGGGCTGCGAGTTCAATAATTTGGTCTAGTCGCCTCATTAGGACATAAGCCAGGAAATGTCTTTTTTGACGATCGATTGGATTGGGCAACACTTCCAGAATCGTATACTTTGCGGATGAGCATGTAACCTGACACCAAAGTGTCCAAATAGATCAATGGGTGTGCCCTGTCTCAGACTCCTTAGTAGCATTCCAAATTCCGTAGAGAATGATGAAACAAACTAACTGGCGACGATCCGCTACACAACGTCTCAGTTCCTATTTCACGACAAAGTTGTTTCCGATAGAGGTCTAAGAGGTGTTGCAACCTGAAGTCATTGGATGCATGGATACTCATCATTGCCACTGTAATTCAGCGGTTCGAAATATTGAAGATAAATTATCTTCACGCTCAATCACCCATGTTCTGCGATTGCATCCTTGGTGACAGTGCTTAAGACGACAAATTAATTAGCACTGACCATTATTTCTTTTAGGGCTCAGTCCACAGAGCACTTTCAGTTGGCTAAAGCAAGACTTGCGTTGAATATTTTTTTGGCGTCGGGGAGTCGAGTTCACGTACTTAGCACTTAAACTCACTAGTGAACAGAGACATACGCGTTATCAAATTGTCGACGTTGTTCTAGGCTTCTTATTTTTGTTACAAGACAGGCATTTGCATGATTAAAATGCTGGAGCAGTTTACAATGGTTCCCGTAGTACTCGTACCTAGATAACGCACAAAGGGCAGTAGTGATGTGCTTTGCTTAGTCCCCACGACGTGAAACACACAAATCGAGGCTGGACGTGCATGCATTTTGAAGGTGTCGAAGTACCGGAGCAAGTCGACGATGAGAAGTCAGGAAAGCAGCGGACCACCGATGAACGTCGGACAACATGGCAACATTCAGGACTGGTACTTCCTCATCAACTGTATCTCGTCGAGTAATGCCTGCAATCTGTCATCCTCGATCTTTACTAAACTGTACAAGCACGTTCAATATCTCGATGTAAACAAACAAAAGATCTCGTGCATTACCTTGGGATGACGCTCTTTGCCTCCTCAGCATCGACGGGACACAGATTGGCAATTTGAGCAGTTTCGAATTGTGTCAATGCGGGTTCGCGTCGAAGGGTTCTAAGGTGAAGTCAGTTGTGCGAGCATAGGGCATCAATAATAACTGAAACTGACTCTCGCACCGCGCTAGCAGAATCGGTGGTGTTGAATTTCGCAAATGTCTTCACGTATTCAAGGGTCTTGTTATAAACACTGGTTAGAGGTAAGGAACCAAACGACGAGAAGAACCAGAAGTCATACGCAGTGTCTGGTGCATCCTTGTCCCTATTTTCCAGCAGATACTTGACCTCGGATATCAGTAAGCAACCGGCATTGTTGAACTCTATCAAGTAAGTTGAGTAACGTTATCACAAGCAAAAGAAGACATACCTGCTCCGAGCTTAAGTGCAGAAGCATCTTCATCCTCCAGTTGAGGCCTGTGCCGTAGTCGGGTGGTCATGTTTATCCACTGGGTGCCAGTTCAGACAGTTGTTTGGCAAAGACCTCCGAAAATAATACTCGCAAGCAGACACAAATAATACTCATGGGCAAAAAGGACTTGTATTATATGTTTACACATTTTTGTAATATATCTAGTGAAAACAACTTCCGATTCCCTGTGTGCGAATACATGCAACAATAGCAACGACATGCAGACTTAGCTAGCGCAGAACAATAGACACAACATGGGGCGGCATCACTGAAAGCGCGTTAGGTCGACTTCGAGCCGGGTAAAGATTGAGCTCACCTAAATCCTAAGTCGAAAGAGCAACAGGAGGAGTTTTCGGCACGTTTGAACTAGAATCATTATCTTCCACTGATACCATCGCCATTTTTTCAACCAAAATGGCATTGGCAACAGCCTCGCCGCGCAGCTTCTCGATCTTGTCCTTGTCCTGTGAGCCCCCTGGTGAACTACGGCTTTGAGCCCCCCCGGGTTTCCAAACACCCTTTGGGTTGAATAACTCTACATTTCCTTTTGGCGGCGGCCTTTCGAATCCCCCGTCTGTGTCCTCAAGTCGGGTATTAGAAGGAGTGCCTATCACACTAGATTGCGCGTTGGAATGATGGGCGAGTGTATTTCCGTGTGAAGTGCTATTGCCCGGCATGAGAATGGATCGAGTCGATGAAAGGTTCGTCCAGACACCTGCAACAGCCGGTATGCGCTTCTCAGGCGTTGGGGACATAGACGACAGGGGAGGGAAATCTGTGGGCTGGAGTGAGACAGATGGATTTTGAAGGCCGCGCTGGGAATTGTTCCTAGCGGGAGACATAGTTCGGGAATTTATCGAGTGATCATGATGCCGAGGATGAGTGGCATGGAGTGTAGGTTGGGGTTTCAAGCCGACGGCCCAATCAGGTCTTGCTGGTAAAGGATGTTGAGATGAGGTTGATGTGAATGTCCTTCGTGAAGAGGATGAGGTCGTTGAAGATGACTACAGCGGGGGAAATAGGTCAACAACAGAGTGAAGGGCGGAGCTATGTAATATAACTTACGGCTGTTGATGATGCTTCGTCACCTGCTGATATCCTGCCACAAGCGCTGGTGTTTGAGTTGCCAGAGGGTCTTCTACTAACCGATGAGCTCAAGCGTGGGCCCACCACCTCACCACCACCAGGACGGCTGCCCACATTGTTCACACCAAAGCCGCCCATACCCACTCCTGGACCATAACTCCAAGCGCTGCGCGCCGGAGGAGCTCCACGAGGCTTGGGACCCATCGAAGGTGAGTGAGTCAAGTCACCAGGATAAGACCGATTCGAGGGTATGGCGTCGTTGCTCCCAGCGCTATTCATGTATCCATTGCCCGGATAGTGAGCATGATTCTGAGCAGCAGGAGGTGATGTTTGTACATGTGAAACGTGAGGGGGCTGGGGAAAGTAGCCAGGCATGGACATGGGGTATGGTCCATAAGGCGGTACAGGAGGCGTAAATGTAGAATACTGGGATGCCGGTGGCGCGACCGACGGAGGAGAAGGTTGCTGCGCCGTATGTTGCATGGGAGGATGAGGAAGTGATTGTTGCTGCTGAGCGGGTGACCATGCGTACGGTACGTAAACGCCTGGATGCGCGGCATGTTGTGGAGAGGGATACGCCTCCATTGTCCCATGCGCCGCTGAGTTGTCTGGCACATGCATTGGAGCTTGCGGGTGAGGGTACGGGTAAGGGGCGTAGTAAGGATAACCAGGAATATAGTTTGAGGCAGGTGGTGGCTGAGGGTATGCGTACATATAAGGATTGACATAGCCAGGTTGTACAGGAGGTTGGGCTCCATCGTACGGGGGAGCCGCCGGGGAGGGTTCATACAGAGTAGGGTATTTGAAAGACGATGGTGAGGGCGCTCTTGACCCTCGGGAGCTACTTGAACCACAGACATTAAATACAGGGGCGCTCGATCGCAGGCTTCGCGTAGACCCGTTTGAACGCTTGCTGTCCTTTTTATCGCGGGCAGGTCCAGACCACTCGCTCTCCGTAGTAGGGGAACTGACAGATTCAACATCAATGTCGCCGGTGCTACTGGTCTCCCCGGCGCTCGTTACAGAACCGGAAGTAAGGCTGATCGTCGACGAGCTAGCGTTTAAATCCTTCTCCTTGCATTTCTCTCTCTCCTCGAAATCCATAAAGATGCGTGAACGTGCTTCGTTATACGCGGCCTCACGTTCTGCGATCGTCTTATGTTTCTTGCTACTGCCAGTAGCATTACTTCGACCACCCTGGCTTCCAGATTCAGATGGCTCTACATCGGAAAGCTCAGGGTCTTCTCCAGCAATTGAACCAGCCTGCGAGTGTGGTTTCGACCGACCACGGTCAGTAGTAGATCGCCGCATAATCTTGATAGTTGGATGAGTTGAAGGCTGAGCAGGAACGAGGACCGCTATGCGACGGGTGGGGCTGTATTTGACTAGCATGAGATACGGCACTATTACGTAGAAATGTACAAACATTTTACTGTCCGCTGAAAGAAGAACGCTAATCGTCTTCGTTACAGGGTCAGTCTCTGGCAACAGTTTATAGTAGGCAGAGCATCTGTGCACCAAAAGGCGCTGATATGATGTAGCAGGCATCAGATCAAGCCGAGGCCTAAAGCTGAAGGCAGTCAGCGCATCAAAGTTAATTCAACATCAAAAAGAGCCGTAAAAACAACTGCGCCGCATGAGCACACGCGGCGCTATGTCGCACATCGCGACGCAACAACCCCATGCACAGCGAACAGACAAGAAGATGCACCTTCGGTCATTGATTAAACTCTCCATCTGCTCCCCGAGCTTCAGGACATATATCCTATCTTTACTTTTGAGGGCTTCAATAATCTGAGGATCGACGTCAGCAAGGAGGCTGCTAGCGCCCTCCAACTCTGCAAAAGTGTCAGAATCAGAGCGCGACGGCGACTGGACATTTGCTGGTTCGGTAAGAGGAGGTGATGTTGAAGTCATGCTTGGTGCGAGACTCGACTCTAGCTGAGAACTGGAAGATGTGTGGGACAATGAAGGAGATGGTGATGAAGAGCAGGATATATAGGGAGTAAAAGATGCGGAGAAGGAAGGGGTTGATAGCGGCTCTGTATAGCAAAATACAGCAACGAATGCAATTATCATGGTCAGCATTCAGAAACTCATTCACAGATTACTTGAAAGGGATCTGGAGAGGCGACTCACGAAACGACATGGAGAGACTTTGAACGGTAAATGGTTTGTCGGCGTTGTACACTGAAATTAAGGACCTGTCTAAAGATAAGGTCAGGACAAGAAAATTGAAGCCATTTGGTGGTCTAGGGAAGCGTAGGCGTTCAGGATGAAAGTCTAGCGGGCCCCAAAATCCCAAGCCCAATCCACCTCTTCCCACGACCCTTCTCCACACAGCATGTTGCATGTAGTGTACGACGAGTTTCGAATTTTCCGACATTCACAAGGCGAGGTCACAATACACCCAGAGGTCCTCAGATTTACCAGTGTGAACTACCGTAAAATTACAAGGCTGTCAATGAACGCTAATTTATCGTGAATTCGAACGACTGTATGTGAATTTGAGTGAATTTCGGTGAATTACTCCCACTTTGTCCAATCAGAAGGATCAGGTAGAGACTGGGACGAGCCTTTGACTGCAGTCTTCTTGCTGGGTGCACAAGCAGGCTGCAAAGCTTGTTTAGCGCTGGAACCAAGTAGTTCACGTAGAAAAGGCAAACGCAATTCGATACCGCTAGATCCAGCAAGCACAAATGAGTCTTTCTCCACTGTCTCGAACTCTGCGGGAAGGCTGTGATCACTGTTCAACCAGTCTGCGCCGTCATCAAATTCATCCTCCGAATTTGAGTTTGAGAGTAACGCGGGAGTGTGTGGTTCTGGTGGAGGAGGTTTCGACCAGCGGCAGGCAGATCCTCACCAGAGCGCTTGCCAAGGATCCTGGCTTCTATGTCACGCCACCTGACCAATAATTTGTACGGCGTTTGAGATTTCTGTTGTAATTGAGGTATACAGTTAATATTATATAGGAAAAATAAAGTAAACCACAGACCTTAGGATTGGCAAAGCTATGCGCGGAGACAAATTTACTTACCTATCTTTCCCAAGTGTCGAACTGGACTTTCGACTTTGTTGTGGTGATGGTCGTTGGCCCAGCTTTCAACACTATCTCCTGGAGAACCTATCTCGGCCCTGAACGTAATCATCATTCCAGTTGTTTACTTTTTCTTCCCCGAAACTGGCGGCCGGTCTTTGGAAGGTAAGCTTTACATGGTCTTCTGTTCGGGACTGACTTCTGGCTAATTTTATCCTGGAAGACCTTAACGTTGTGTTTGCGTTGGCGTACATAACTGGTAAAGATCCTGTCAAGGTCTCGCTTCGGAAAGATGTCCCGCTTGTTGGATCGCAAGAGGTGGACGAGATTCTTGGAGTTAGCACAGGCGTTCAACATCACCCTCCGGGAAGGCACCCCACGCCATCCTCTTCACCGAAAAAAGTCAGAACACAGGCGTAGTAGGTGCGACGATCGCTGAATCGAGGTCTAGCAGTGAGCTGCTGATGATTCAAGCGTATCGGGGCTTTGAGCTTGACTTGTGAAATCGTGTGGTCGCAAATTGAACAAGCTAGGCTAGGAGGAAAGCATATACTTGCAGAAGAAATATTCGTCAGGATTGGACCAAGGTCCAAGTAGTCAGCGCTTCAGCATGACTTGTAATATGATGCTGCATTGATGCACACTAGCGTAAGTTTACGGGCACGTGATCAGTGATTGCAAATTATAATTCTGCTAAAATGTACATGTACGTATATTTTTTGAAGGACATCCCGTCAGTGGGAAGAAATTTCTAAGGGATTAAAAATTCGATAGATATTGTAACCCAAACTGTTGAAACGATTTAAAATCCCGAAGCAGTAGATGCACAATGTTACGTACCAGAACACAAATACACAGCACCCGTATCCTGCTAAAGCAAGGGCAGCTTTGTTGAGCACTCTGCTTACACTGGGATCGTCTCGAGAGATCTGAAACACATGGTCCTTAGCGACAGCTCCGAGAAGCATCGGAGGTCAGAGACTCACCTTCCAGAAGAGGAGGCCGGGAAGAATAAACGAAATGGTAGTGGATCCAATGGCGCCAACAAAAGAGAGCACTGTATGGCAAATTTTGAAATTAGAACGGTCATTTCCTCGACACCGGCCAAAAAACATACCCATTTCAAGGTTATCAACGAAGTACGCGATAAGGAAACCGACACCGGTAATAGCAGCGGTCAGCAGTGTATGTTTGAAAAGGGACGTGTCGGCAACGGCATGATCCTCATCGACAATTTCATCGTCATTATTACTATTGGAAACCTTGATAGGGGCTCCTACATCAAAAATCTTGTCCAAGCAATTCCTACAAGGCTGTACTTGCAGTGGATACGAGAACATGATGAGCACGACGATAGCCAGCTGTCCAATAGCAATAAATAACGATGTCGAGGGATACATGGCGATGATATTAGCGCCAACCTTGATGAAGACTGTCAGTATATACATGATGCACGAGCAGAAAAAAATCATTCACATTAGAACCAAAGGTTAAATAGCCAAAGAGAGCGATGACCTCATATATCATGATGGCAGTACCAATAGAAGTCCCAATAACAATATTCATGTGCTGCTGCGAGTTCGTCTTCAGTTCGTTGAAGATGGGGAATAACTGGAAAAACTATTTAGTTAATCGTCATAGCAGAGAAAATCCATACATTCTGGGCACACGTGAACGCAAAAACTTGCACAGGGAACGTCGAGATGAAGGTCGGCGTGAAGTGGATGAGATGGATATCGCCAGCTGGAGCTGTACCTTCTAAAGGATTGAAGTAGCATCTAATGACAATAGCCAAGAGGTATACTGGGTTGCGTGCACGCAGATTTAATCATCCGTCTCAATGCATGATACTGCGGATTTGAGCTCACCGACAGAGAATAGGACAACGTAACTTGCGTATCTAAGGCTATCCAGACGACGAAAGAAAGCAAGAGGGACGAGAATGAACATAATGATTGTAATCCAATTCCGACCTGACAAGGCCCACGCAGGCGGATTAGTGTCCGGTGAAGTCAAATCATGGTATAACGATTCCACAACATTGGGCATGAGCGACTTGATGATGATGAGATAGCTGAATATCATTAGCATTACCAAATAAATGAGTTGAAGAACGCTCACCTGGTAGATACTCCGAAACACTTGATGGCTATCGCAGCATCGAAGAACATGGCAGCTTGCGGAAACGTAAGCTGTGCAACTGCAAAGAAAGAGCTGCTTCTATGCGGGGCGTGTCTAGCCGATAAGGAGAGGAGGTATAAACCGAAGGCGCCAGCACAACCAGAGAATACACATGTGAGGATTCCTGGTATGATACCAGAAGACGCCATAGCCTGATAACATCAAATGAACCTATGAAGACTCCCTGCATGTCTGTGTAATCTTACCAAAGGGAAGGTGAGCATGCCTGCACAGAAACTAGTCAATTCCAAGAAACTACACATTGGACGAAAGCACTCACCGCTGCCAATAATTGTATTTGAGAGGTTGCTCACAGAACTCAGCATACTTGCATGACCTTCCTTCTGTCGTACTGAACGGAGCAGCTTCCCCTGCAAGAAGGGTACTACTCTCGCTGTCACCTGCGCTCGCGCCAGCCGCGGTTGTGAGCACTGCTCCATATTTCTGCACCATCTCGTATAAATCTAAGTCTAGGTCTAAGGACTCGAAAGTTGAGCTATCAGCAGGAGTCAAGTATCCGCTGAGAATGGGGTGGGATAACACAGTGTCGGCTGGTCTGCACGGAGCTGAACTAAGTACTGGTCAGTGATAACGAGTATGTAGACAAGCCAAGCCAGCGTGTGAGAGAACGATAAACAAAGGCAACCCCTTTACTCACGTGGCCACAATGGAAATCGACCTTTCCCATATAATTCTGTTTTGCACTGCCTAGTGCCGCATGTTTATTTTATTGGGTGCGCGGATTTACTTGTAATACTAATCGATTCAGAGATTCATAAGGAGGTATATCATGACCACTACAGAGTCCGAAAAAAAGCGAAACCATATCAAAGCTTTGAAAAACAACGATAACACGATGCAAATCCAAACAAAAGTCATCAATACCGAATACGACTATGACTGCTTCCCAAGCGACCCGTCTGTCGTTCCTTCTGACGTGCCTGCATCCGCTGGTGTCGTAAATTCGTCATAATCTGCTTCCCCGTGGGGGACAACTCAGAGGATGATGCAGGCGAGGGTTTTTCCTGCAAGTAAGGTGGACGGAAGCCAAAGGGTCGCAGGGGTGTCTTCGGTTGGGGAAGCTGAAATACCATATCGTTCTCCTTATCTCGCGAAGGCATTTGAGCGGATGAAGAAGCCTCGACTAGAGATCGACCCTTTGTAAGATATGACACACTTGCGAAAGCATCAAGTGGCAAGCTGCTGCGTGCAAGGATGGGGAGTTGGCTATTGTCATCGAGATCAATCATTTTAGAGTGCTGAGATGAGCGCGGACGAGAGGATGTAGGGATTAAAAAGGCTGCGTCTCCGCTGACGACGCTAGCGAAGCCCGGATATCTAACATCCCCATTTGATTTCTCTCCGAAAGCAGGTCTGGAAGAAGTGCCTTCAGCCTTAATGCCTGGTAAATGTTGCAAATCATCCTGCAACCACGGGCTGGGATTCGACTTGGATCGTGAGGGTATCTTTGTAGAAGCACGTGGACCGCGAGGACCTCGACCGCTTTGTCCACTGCTACTACTCCGGCCAGTATGGTTGATAATGACGGGTTCAGACTCTGAGTGTACGATGTGATGCGGCCACTCCTCGTCTAGAGGAGGCGCAGCTTGCATAGATTGTGAAGAGGGAAATACGAGCTGTGAATTAATTTCGGCATGGGTGGATTCAGGTAATTGAGTATCGCTGAGAGGGGATTGAACGTCGCTGGATGCCAGATCCAACATGATATGTGAGGGGTGAGTGACTTTTCGTGTCGGCAGCTTCGAGGGGCGTTCTTCAGATATCCTTTTCCTGTCAGCGAGAAACCCAAATATCTGCGATGCACGTTGGTGAGAAATTGGATTTCCATAAGGTGAATTGACTTGGACACGGCGCGTAATTTCAGTGGAGGCACTGAGCTCCACATCAAGCGAGGAGAACGTGGGTTGATTTGGTGCAGAGGTATCGCATTCAGTAGAGAGTGTGGTGCTGTGGAGAGCGTGATTGAAGTGGGAGGGCATGAAAAGGGGATCGCGAGGTGTTTTAAGTTCGGGGGAAGATGTACAAGAATTATCATTAGTTTCGCTGGCAGATCTTCAGAAAGTGAAATATGAAGAAAATGAAAATGACGCTTACCATAGGACACTCTCAGCCCATTCAATGTCACTGTTGTCCCAGAGCTCAGGGCCAGATGGATTGGTCAATAGCTGTCGAAAGGTTGAGCCAGTGCGACGTCTTCGCAGAAGTCCCCCGTCTCGTGCGACTGGTGGGGTATTGGAGAATACATGAGAGTCTAGACATCCATTCTCATCATAAGCATTGAGCAAACTAGCAACGGATGGGTCCTGGCGAAGACGAAGAAGACGGTTCTGATCGCGGGGGGTGATAGGTACGCTTTTAGAGCGACGTCGTGGAGAGTCGTTTAAATTTCGTCTCGGAGTTGCAAGACTGTCCATGGGAGGGTATGCATTTGGGAACTCGGTGCGGCTGTGGACTGTGCGACCGTGTACAGTTACTGTGTAAGAACTGCGTTTAGAAAAGCTACCAAGGGTTGCCGTAGATGCAGCAGGCTCCGGAAGAACATTGTCAATGGGATGAGCTACGGAATAGATAAGTATTGGAGAGAGATATTGGTCGTAATTTACTCACGGAGAGGTGGAAGTGATGCATAATTCGAACCTGATTCGGCAGGAAACCGTGCAGAAGAGGATCGCAAAAGTCGGCTTACTGCTGCCTCGGCGTCATCCTCTCGTGTCGGCTGCAGGTGCTTGGGTATCGAGCGCAGGGAATCATCATGATGCGCCAATTCTCGTCTCTTTGACTTCTTGTTCCCAATTGAAAATATTTTCTTGAAAAAACCCATGCTAGTTATAAGCTTCGTTCCTTGAGTAAGTTACCCGGTTTATGGATGTGGTTTAAAGAGCATAAAAGATCGTAATGGATGGAAGGAAAAACCAAACCTGATGATCTGCAATCTCAACTACAACCAAATAACTCACAACAACACACGTCTTTTAGGCACGTGATATTGATTTTTATCTTACTAGTATGAGCGTAAATGCATTAATTATTCACTGCATTGCAAGCTCCCTTCCGCTCGTGCTTGTAATAGAGCTGGTAAAAGTGTGGTACATCCCTGTATATATATTCGATTATTCAAAGTTAATAGTAAGTCAGGCAATACTAATACAAGTCCTGCACTCGAGAACTACCCCCAACGTCGGCATCACTATTTCCTCTTGACAATATCTGTGAATACCTCTGATTAGCGGTTATAACACGCATGTTGATTCACTCCGGATCCACGATACCAACGTTGTTTCTGGCTCTCTCTCACTTAGATGCTTCACGTGACATGGGCGTTCGACAGTTGAAGTGGGAACCTTAAAACCACTGATAATCCGAGTCTGTGCCGTTCAACTTGTACGATGCCGACGGCGCTACTGATCGTGGGCAGCAATGTCCGCGACTTTTGTATGCTAGAGCGAAATTTCTTGACACATATCAAACTCGTCCTATTGTTATTGCTCATGTTTGCCTCGGCGTTGCTTGGAATCCGTCTCCCTGGACCTCCTGGCACGAGAGAATCTGAGAGCTTGGGGTCTTTTGGTTTACCCCTCGCGATTCTTCAGTTCATCGCTGCCCTGCTTACAATCGCTGCAGCGTTCTGGGAGTACCGCATAGGTCTAGATGACCTGATGAAAGTCAGGGCCTTTTTTGCTGTAAACAGGTAAGTCTGCAGCTCCCCAGACTTTATCATGCTGATAACAGTCGCTCGCAGACTACACTATATCATTATGGCAGCTGTCACGTTCATTATCCTGGCCACCTGTATGGTATATGCAGCCAAGAGCGGTTAGCATTTGCCAATCAGGGTGTGGCAACTCTTCCATGACTCCGTGCATCTTCTCATGCCCCTTCTATCATGGGCCATTCCTCGTGAGAAGGAATTGAATTTCACGAGAGTATGTGACCCATGGCATCATTCCCGCGATATCATCCTTCAAAATTATTCCCTTCTCGAAGCAGATAACAAACAGGTGTTGTATAAGAATTGTCTCACTTTGTTGTTTTTGGATTGGTCGATTTAGACACATCCGAGTCTCAATGAAAGATTCGGTGCATCCTGATACCTCTCACGCTCTTGTACACTATATTCAGCTGTATTCGATACATCATTTCGAACTCTGATGATCAGACTATGTGTGAGACTGTACTTCGTTGACCCGAGCCCAGCGGCACCTTAGCCAGCACAACTCGCTCGATTACGTGATGATCGCAGAGGTCTAAGAGAAATCCACGCTCCCGGCAATCCATAAGTGTCCTTAAAGTATCCCAGACCTTGCTCTTAACGTTATCCATCGTAGTCTCCTCCTTTCCTTCCTTCACTAATGAGAATCAGCAAAAAGATCGAGCAGTCCAACAAAGAGGGCAGAATATGGTGGTCATTCGAATATTTTCCGCCCCGAACAGCCCAGGTGCGACCCCATCGCAGTCATCCCATGCGCAGTTATCTGAATAATCTGATATATGTTCATAGGGTCTCCAAAACTTGCTTGATCGTATAAAGCGCATGACCGCATTGGGCCCAGAATTCATTGATATTACATGGTATTAAAGCGTTTACTTATATGATGAGAAACCACTTTACGCCCTTTGAATAGGAATGCTGGTGGTCGGACGTCTGATCTAACTGCACACATGGTGAAGACGTGTCAAGGCTCAGTTGGCATAGAAACATGCATGCACTTGACATGCACGAACATGCCTAAAGAGAAGGTCGACATTGCTCTCCAGGTGTGTATCCGCATGCGAACCGTTTGTTATACCACTTTAATTAAATATCTATTACAGGAAGCAAAGAAAGCCGGCTGTCGCAACGTCTTGGCCCTTCGTGGTGACCCACCTCAAGGGAAGGATGAGTGGGAGGCAGTCGAGGGTGGTTTCGTGCATGGTATTGACCTAGTCAAGCACATCCACAACGAGTATGAGGACTACTTCGATATCGCAGTCGCTGGATTCCCTCAGTTCCAGCTTCTTCCGCCCGCAGAACGCGACCTCGAGATGAAGTACCTCAAGGAGAAAATCGATGCAGGCGTTAACTTTATTTTCACACAGATGTTCTATGACGTCGATGTCTTCATCGATTGGGTGAAGGCAGTCAGAGCGGCTGGAATCACAATACCAATCGTTCCTGGTATTGCACCTATTCAAACGTGGAATGGCTTCTTAAAAGCAACATCTCTTGCGAACACCAAGATTCCGCAATTCTTCTTGGACGCTCTAGAACCCTATAAAAACGACGATGAGAAGGTTCGGGAGATTGGAACTAAGCTAGTGGCAGACATGTGCCGGAAGATTCTTGCTGCTGGTCTCGGCATTCAGGGTCTTCACTTTTATACCATGAACTTGGAGAAGGGAACGAAGATGTTGCTGGAGGAGCTAAATCTCACGCCTCGTGTAGAGACTATCAAGCCTTTGCCTTGGAGACAAGTATGTGGACACCACTCACCGCTCAATGCCTTATTCTCATGATTACTTTCAGTCGCTTACACCGAACCGACGCCAAGAAAACATCCGTCCCATCTTCTGGGCGAATCGGACCGATTCATACCTTTCGCGTACTGAAAACTGGGATGAATTCCCAAACGGTCGGTTTGGTGACTCGCGGAGTCCCGCGTATGGTGAGCTTGATGGATACGGAATCTGGCTCAAACAAACGGCGAGTAACATATAACACGAGCCGCCAATTCAGTTACTAACTTCTACTACAGAAGGAGGAGGCTCTGAAACTTTGGGGCGAGCCCAAGACATTCGCAGAAGTCGCATCGTTATTTAGCCAATTCTGTTTGGGTGGTCTCAAAGCTCTCCCATGGTCAAATCAAGCAGCATCTTCCGAAACCTCTGTCATCGCCTTGCAACTCGCCAAGATGAACGAACTTGGTTTCTTGACAATCAACTCTCAACCCGCCGTCAATGGTGCAAGGAGCGACGATTCACAGTTTGGTTGGGGTCCAAGTAATGGGTACGTCTACCAGAAGGTAAGCACCACTCTTGATACGCGAGCTCCCTTTTAATATCTGCGTCTGCCATCTGTTAGGCATATCTAGAGTTCTTTGTCGGCCCTCAACTACTAGAACTCCTGCTTGCCCATATCGAGCGTGATAGTAATATGACCTACTACGTCATCAACAAACAAGGTGACCTCAGGACGAACACCCACTCCGATGGACCCAACGCTGTCACATGGGGAGTTTTCCCCGGCAAGGAGATTGTCCAGCCGACAGTCGTCGAGGCACTGAGCTTCATGGCATGGAAGGCAAGTCATGTTTGACCTGGTACGATCATTCCTAATATTTCCCTGCAGGATGAAGCGTACGAGCTAGGCGTCAAGTGGGCCAACATCTATGAGGCAGGGACGCCATCACGCAAGCTCATGATAGAAATCTTTGAATCATCATACCTCGTAAACGTTGTCCACAACGATTTCAAGGATTCACAAGCCATCTTCGAGCCCTTCTTCAAGGCAGGTGCCGAGTACGCAGCCCAACACGTCAACGGCAATGGTTCTGCTGCACCCAAGGCACTTCCAAATTAGCCTCAAGAACAAGATCGATTTCGCATACCTCCCACCTTCCGCATTGCGGGTTCAACCCCCGTATGACATGCATATCCAGCATAACTAATATCTGACACTTAACCACACCACTGACATGAAAGTCCTCATCTCATCGCATCAACTGCCACAGCTTGTATATCAGCCACCTCTGCATCAACTGCATACTGCATCAACTGCACGCATCCTCTCGATATAGTTTCCATGAGACAAGGGATGTTTATTGTACAAGCCGTATACGAGCAACTAATAGTATTGTTTACATGATTACCCGTCATCGAATCTCATCACGTCTTGATAGACGTACACAAATCATAATTATAAGAGACACATACACCCGACTTCTTCTCATCACATCAGATGAGATCTGAGAAGAAAAAATCGGTATTGCTTGGAGGAGGTCCTGCCACCAGTCCACTGGGTATATCAACCTTCTCACCTGATAGATCTAGAAGAAATTGAAATTATAGATCTTAGCTGTGGTACGAGGGTGGTGATCGACTCACCAAGAAGCTTGATCTTGAGGCCAATCTCTGTCAAGGCTTTGATGTACCCTGCCGTTTCTTCAGATGTGACATGACCGCTGTCCCGCCGAAGCATGTTCAGCCCATCAGTCCAATCTGCCCACCGGGATTGATCTGACGCAATTTGATCTGCCAGAGAGCCTTCAGTGGCTGTTAGGAGAGAGAATGATAGAGGCGATGGAGTGAGATTGTTAGGCGGAGATAGATCGAGGTGATTTTGTAAGTTGTTTGGTGGAGATGCGCATGTGCCAGTGGCGATCTGGGTGATTGCTGCGATCTCAATCCGCTCTGGCAGATCTTCAAGTCCATTTCGAACGGCGAACTGGACCGCACTGTCCACATAGTGGAGATATTTCAAGCCGTTGTCCTATCGAGCCAATGAGCTTACTTTAGGAAGCACGCAATAGATCTATACCAGTCGTATGAATCTCCAATGTCCGTTTGGCCGCCGCGAAGGACCATTGGCTGGTGTGGGGATGCCATTGACGAACCATGCCCCTTGAAACAGGCACTGTATTCGTTGTTGACGAACGAACTCGGCGGACTCGCGGGTGATCTTCTCTTTCAAATTGCTTGATTTACCAGTGTTAAGAAGGAACCCCAAGATCAGATGCTAAGATTCTTACCGCACAGGAACCTTGCTTAGAAGGTCGTCTTCTGCTTCAAGCTCCTGCATCTGCCTGTCCCTCACAGCGCGATACTCGCAGTCGAGGAAATCGCGCTCCACCTCGTGCCATGGTTTGATGTTTTCCCTTTGCAACGCCACTTTGACCCTTGAGAGAATCAGGGGTGAATATCAGGATTAGGAGAGATCATGACGTACTGGCTTCGAGCAAGCGCCACAATGCGAGAAAAATCGCCTGCTGCAGAGCCACTCTCATTCCACATTCGCAAGAAAAATTGTGTGGCGAGAGCATGGACCCGGTAAAAATTGAGGAAAAAAGGCTGGTATGTTGTTGATGTTGAATCTGATGATGGGTATGTTAGATGAGTTGCGTACTCCGCGACAGATTACTAACATGCAGGAGCGAAAATCACCCAATGCTCTGCAAGCAGTTCAACAATTTCATTTGAAGCCCTTGCGATGGGGCATCGCCTATCTACCGGACGACTTAACTGCTCCAATATAACCTATTGACGATATGGATGTTGGTGTTTGTGATGAAAAGCAAGAGTAAAGAAATCTCACTTTGGAGAACAGATCTGGGTCGTCTGCGACAAAATTACGCTGCGACATGATCGGTCAAGGGACCATACGGCTAAAATGACAGTGCTCACCAAACAATCAAGCCCAAGTTCCCCTACTTCTTGAAATTCGTGCACCAGATTCTCACTTGAAAACCCAAGCTTCCGCCATTTCAAAACTTCACCATCACCATCCCGCTCATCCTGAACTCTGCTACAATTCCATATATATTCAAGAGCAGACGCGTGAAGAGGCTCGACTTCGGGCTCGACAAGCGTCGATTTCTTACGGTATGTCACACGCACGATATTGGCCTGGAAGTCGAGAATCGAGGACGTAAGGTCATCTATATTATGTGACGACATGAGTCGCTAAAAACTCATGAGTGATTTATGAAACGCAAATTGGATGCCACGCACAATGACCGCCTTCCGAACGTTGAGGCGCTCTAGCTCAGAGATAAACTCATCCCATTCGGTATCATTGACGTGCGAAAGCAGGGAGTTAATCAGCATCATGCTGCAGTAATGTCAGTGTGCGCCTTATCTGGACTGCCTGTGCGTTGCGCATACCTATGTAGAATCATTGCAGTATCTGCGCTTCCAAGCCGATTCACGACAGTTTCCAATGATCCTTTCTCCCTCCGCATCTGTTGGAAAACAATCTGGAAACCGTACCGATACACCGAGCCCGGGGGTGCAACAGGGGGTGCTCTACTCGAACTGGCGATCAGTGGTCCAGGCGCATTCATCGGGTCAGCTTCAACAAGCTTCTTTAGGATAGCGGTGGCGGGGCGGCAAACGTTGATGAGAGAATTTGGCGAAGAGAGGATTTGGACAACTTTGAAAACGAAGGTATTGTCGAGGGTTGACCAACCATAGTCCAGATCCATCAGGTTGTGCATGGCTTCGAGAGCGTACTGAAATAGATACTTAGGAGTTGACCTTGCACTTGGTCAAAACAACACGCACTGCAAGTGTGTTTCCGTGCTCGGTACAAATAACTTGTGCAAGCTCGGAAAGACCCCCATGACTTAAAAATTCCTGAGCAAACTTTTCTTCCTAGGAGCACAGTCATTGTTGACGAGAGCACCCACGAATGAATGAACCTGACGCACTTTAATGAACTTCTTCAATGACCAAAGAGCCATCTTGAAGGTTTTCTCATCTCTGACGAGGAGTTTTTGGACTATTTCTGCTGCCTCGATATTGGGACTATTGACTAGCCTGTAGAGCATCACATATACATCATCAGTAATACATCTCGATTATTATCCCGGTATTACACACTTGAGATTCGCTTTGTTCTTGATCTTCTTCCGCAAATTCTCGTTCACGACCAGCTCGTCGGTATCTTTATCCCTCAAAGCAAAATTGGAGGAGGGCTCTGTGACTTTGAGATTAACGCAGAGCTGCCTGACCACATCATCGACGGTGAGTGTAGGGTCGATTCGAGTGCGAACGGTCACGCCCTCCTTGGTGGTAACATTGTTGGTTGGGATGAGTCCTGTTGACCTGGGACGCGTGTTATTCGTTGCAGGCGGTGCGAGAGTTGTGCGAGAAGCGCCAGGCGCTATAGAACCATTGGTAGTCGACATACGGATATTTGCAAGGTAGGAGCGAGATGGAGATATTAAATGAATAAAGATGGTTTATCGAGGCGATCTAGGATCCAGCGGGATATTCCTGAGATGGAGGGCAGTTATCATAAACGGACATATATTGCAATAGGTTGTGGTCAGGTATGGAATACATCGTCTCCACCACGCGTCGTAAGACGCGCAGCTCTGACTGACGTGCAAATATTCTCGGATTTCATCACGCCATCTGTAACAAGAGAGCAATATACTCACAGTATGTTCTGGCTAAACCCTTGTGAAAGCACTGACAAGACCTGAAAAAGGGGAGATAAGCATGTAAACTTTGAAGCAAGACACCAATAATGAGGATATAAAATTCAGATGATGTAGTGTATCGTCTGCATGTAATGAAAACATTCGGCCTGACGTGCAAATAAAAAGAGAAAATGGCTCATCAAATAAAGCGATTCTGGACGGTTACTCACCGAACTCAAGTGCTCTGAGATTGCCAACCTGCTACCCAAGATGAAGGTAATGAAATAGCGCGATACGCGGTGCAAAAGAATGTGGGAGATGGAAAAGCGTTGTCGACAGCTTGATCTGCAAACAGGTAGTAAATGAGATGCAGCGCGATACAAGCACGAAAGGTTGATGAGCACCAACTAGCTCTTCGCAACAACGACAACGGAGACGAAGTTTGAGCACTACTGCACTGCCAAAGCAGAAATCAGCGAAAACCAGCGTCTATGTCGCGTTTAAGGAACTACCGTGAGATCCTGTCGCTTCCAGTCATCGTAACATCAATCATCGTATCATTTCTTGGACGACTTCGGAGGTACTCGACGACGATCTTGATGATCTGCGAAGGTTCTCTGAACCCATTCAGGACAGAAATCGACCTATCTGATGGAAACCTTGTGAAAAGACACGTTTCTATTGATTCTGCAACGTCACCGTGACTGTCGTACTACTACGTACGTACTACGGCTGCAACTTGAACGCTTCGCAACGTTGACGAAGATTTGAACAGGAACGAATCAGCCACCAACGAACGAGTTCGCCTCATCTTGCTTGGTGTGACTGACGTTAAGTGAGGACAACAGCTACTAGTCATGGTATCTCTCTGGCCGACCTCATGTGTAGCTGATTTTTGTAGATCACAATTGATGCGCAACTTGTGCATTTACTTGTTCATAACGATGTCCAGTGCAAGTCCCAAGTCAGCCTTGCTAAACGTCATACACCGAGCGGCTGACTACTGAACGAACCTGCCTTTCTTCGTATTAACTTCTGGACCATTGGTTTGTGTTTGCTGGTTGTTCGCCATGTCACCGTCCTATACCCTTTCGAAGTATTTTGCCGTCGAACGCTCGGATTTTCCAGCATCATCAGGAGGAAGAGCGTGGATAAAGAAGCCTCCACCCATCCTCCGAGACTTGCGAAACACTCTGGCATTGCAAGCAACCGAGAGCAGCCGTTATAGTATCGAACAAGGTGTTCCCTTTGACGCTTCCTCTTTTTTCGTCCCAGAAAGTCCCTCCTCCCCGGAAAGTCGTAGACACCACCGCAGAAATGGCAGGTATCGAGTCACCCCCATCGCCCTCCCTGTTATTCCGTATACTGTACCCTCGCTCGACCTGTCGGGGCACACACCCGTCGATGCGCTTGCCTTTCACGTTTCGGATCGTGATGCGTCCGCTGAAGAAGCAATTATCTTCAGCAACAAGCGTAGCTCATCAATGATCATTTCGAATTCTGACCATGAAAACCCCAATGTCGACAACAATTCTTCCCTCTTAGGATCCAAACATGCTGCCATCCATCACGCTACTAAATCGTTCAATCCGCAGAGCGCTCCATTGAATTGTCCTATCGTCGATCAGAATGCCCTGGTCTTCACTATCCCTCCGTGCTCTCCTACACTCCCGCTCAGCCCACCTACTGCATCAAGCTCTCCGATTTCTGACCTTCTTTCCAAGCGTTCTGGTAGGATGTTTAGGCTCGTCCCAACCCAGAATGACCGCTTCATGCATGCTGTTGCGACCGACCTGACTGATTACCACATCGAATGCCCGTTAGAAAGTCATTGCTCATCCTCCCCAACACATATCGGTTTTCCTCCCGACATGCTCGCACTACTTCAGGAACTCGATGAACTTGCTAGTTGGGTCCAAGATTTTCCATACCCTGAAGCGGCTTTAGGAGCACTTGACACCTTTACCATTGGCTCAACTGTACCTGTATCGTGTCCGCATGCGCTCCGCTGGCTCAGCAATATTCAAGGTGACCATTTTCTCCAACAGCCCGTGTTGCTGGACAAAGGTAAGAGGCGGATGCTGACCGAATCCACGGATGATATGTCCGAGGTAAACCAATCTGCCTTTTTGGCTTTTTCCAGGATTAATCTGCTTGGAAGTGCCAGTCTCATTTGGCCATTCTACCAGCCAGCACACCTGTGGCACGGAGGCGATCAATCCGATACATATACGAGCCTCGGGTACATATTTTCCTTTCTTTTCATACCATGGAGCCTTGACTGATCACTCATGAAGGGCACACCATCATTCCTCGTCGGTAGTTCTACCTCACCTGTTGCATACCCCGCAGAAGGGTACCGGAGTCCTCCTCGCGAAGTCATCACACCTGGCCCATCTTCCATCACCAGTCTCAATACAAGTACCCCTGTCATCCGAGCATGTGGTCGCCGCTCTGTACCCAATGTATCACCCTCGCCCTTGGTCTCTCCCCCTACCGGCATGACTTCGTTCAAGGCGTTCTTTAAGAGGTCTCGCTCCAATACAATGTCAGCGCCCCAATCAAATACGTGCGGGAGGGAGAAGAAGAAATTTGGGTGGCTGAAGATATAAGTGGTTCATGGTATACAGGGCTAGGGAATGTCTTCGATTATTTTTTTTTGGATTTTTTTTCCCCCTGTTCTGTCACAGCACATGTTCGTTCTCGTCATATTTGCAGTAGTTTTTCGCTTATAATGCCAATTTCAAATTCGCGAACATACCGGCGTACGTATCGTACAATATTTTGGTTTGTAAGGCCAACAACACTGTGACAGTCCCGAACTAAGATTCCACTGACAAAATACAAAATTCCACTGACAAGACTGCACTGACAAGGCTCCACTGACAAGGCTCCACTGACAACTTTAACAAGTCAGCCATGGTCAGTGTATGACTCTAGCACTAGTCAGCCTCTTCAGCCGGAGGACTACACACCGGAGTCAGCCGCGGCTGTTCGCGTCAGATTGGGACCAGGTGTCCTCCCTGATGCTTGATGCATCTGTATTGTTCTTTTTCTGCTTTGCTTTTTGGTATCAAATGTCTTCTTGGTCGCCCTCACGCATCCCTCGTCCTCCGGCTCGCCCATCTCCTTTGCCGTCTCCGCCATCACTCGAGATCGCGACCGTCCTTGCTCAAGCAGGCCCGTTCGACGATCTCAAATCACTCATTCCATCGCTCTCGTTCACAGTGAGCTCGGCGGATTATGAAAGTGACTGGGAGGACGTGCCGCCATTCCCAAAGGATCACCAGCCACCTATATTTATAATCCAAGGTCACCGCGCTCAAGTGCCATTTGCTGTTCGTACAGGTGTCATCGCTCTTGGAGACATACATCCAGACGAACGCACCGCTCGTGTCGTTCTCTCTGCGCCAACAATACCGCGCATGAACTTGGTCATGAAGGAACGGCTCTTCATGAACACTTGGATTGTGAGCGAAGATTTTCTATAATTTGCCGCTTTAGCTGACGAAATCGAATGTAGGATAGGCTTACTCCGCAGTGTCCTCCCAGGCACGTCCCCTGGACTAGTGATAATTCGGTTCCTAAGCGTGACTGGATTTCTGAAGGTTCCATCTTTCTGGCTGAAACCATCAAGTCGCAAAATGGGAAGATACGACAAGCACGGATGGATCAACAGATCTCAAATGAATCTTCCAAAGAAACATTCCCTCATTCTACGCCCTGCACTCGAAGCCACAGGGAGACCGCTGTTATTTCGAAGGAATGTTCCGGACGTCAGGTCGGATGTAATCCATGGTCCGTTCACGTTCCAATGACCACTATCAAGCGAAATACAGTTTCATCTGGACCGGGGCCCATTACACCAACCCGCGGACGAATGGGGACACGGACACATTCCTCGGCCACTCCCGTTCTCAATTCTGGCTCGGATAAGACAATAAAGCAACTGACATCAACATGCCGCAAGTCATCTCGCGCGTTGCCACAACTCGGTTCTATTGATTCTCTGGCTATTCGAAGAGGGAAGAAGGTCTCCGGTTTGCAACTCAAGGAATTGGACGATCTGGACTATCCTGATATCCCTACGGCCTTCCGCGGGTCTCCAACCGTTTGGTCGCCGAAATTTGACTCCGACGTTCCTAGTCCCGATGGAAACCTTTTTACTGACCACAGTAGTATGCTATCAAGCCTCAGATCGCAATACGCCGCACTTGATACGAGTGGAATCTTCACGCCTGTGACGCACAACAAGGAATGTCAAGATGCATTTTTTGACTCGGACACGGACTCTGTATCGTTAATGCCATCATCCTCCTGCGAAGATGAGTGGGCCTTTGAAAATGACCTCGATCTTGATCTTCAAGGCGTCGTTGACAATCTGTCTTTTTGTCCGACAACTTCGTTTACGCCCAAGATCGTGCCAGATAGGCTCAGGGAGTCTCTGAACGTCACTCCAGATGGTTATTCCGCCAGTTCCAATCTAACTCGTTCTCCTTCACCTCCTTGTCGGCAGTCAGTAGTCCCTGCAGTCAAGGTTTCTCCGGCGCCCCTGACTGATCCGCCATGCATCCCTCTCCCCCCTCCTCCTGTTTTAATTACTCCTTCTACCCCTCCACGGGTTAGAGGAATTTTAAAGAAGGTCAAGAGCGTTCGCTTCGAGGATGTCAGATGCAGTCAAGATGCAGGCTTATTGATCATGCCAGTACCGGAATCAACAGCAGCGAAGCGCCCTTCTCCTCTACGGAACAGCTTCATGAACCCTGTCGATGACACGACATTGGCAGACACAAAGGAGCCTGTGGATACTGAACCCGTGACAAATCCTACTGCGCCGTTGCCTAAGGCACTTCAGGAGCCTATCATCAAGAAGAAGTCACACATAATGAAGTCCAGGCTCGTTCCTAAGGGTACCATACTCAGCTCTCATCGCACATCTGAGGTACCCATCCTGAAATTTGTCGACACCAACGTCCAGCAGGTCCCGCCTGTACCCGAGCTCGACGGGCCGGCAACCTCTACTCCTGGCCGTCACAATCGCGTCGCCAGTACAGAAAAGGAAAACGGGCAGACTGCTTACGCTCGTGCTCGCAAGCGATGGTCGACGATGAACGAGAACGATCTCAGGATGGGAGTCGAGGGTGCTGCACCGAAGAGTCGTCTTACTACGCCTCTGCGGAACATTTTCAAGTTTAAATAAATTAAATATTCCTGTCGTTACACTTGTATTCTTTGCCTCCTACATTCATTGTTTCATACGCTGTTTTTATTTTTGAATCCACCTTTTACTTGCCAAATTCTCTTGGATGGTTGTAGTGTTACATGAACTTCCGAACTTCAAGGCCTGGTGGTCTAGTAGTATGATTCCTTGTTAGGGTAAACCACGTTTCGAGGAGGTCCCGGGTTCAATTCCCGGCCAGGCCCAAAATTTTGTCTTTTTATACCTTCGTCGGTGTCGGCGCCATCGTACCAACATGTGTTTGGCTGGCTCAGACTTGCAAAATGGCCCCAAATCACAATGTAGCACATTAATCTTTCACTCGTTTTCTTCACACAAGGAGGATCAATATGTAACTTGCTGTATGTATTTTTTATTCCGTGAAAAACGCTCACTGACATAACATGTACTTTGAAGCCATTACATCCACACAACAAAATCAGTGATTAACTATTGTCTTCGAACACTGATCTGAATATCTTTTTCTGATGAGAACCGAGTATAAATGTTGTACATAGATGAGCGAGCATTTGTTTCGGAGTTGTAAAACCCTGCTTTATCTGAATCATACGCCTGGTTAAGTCATCTGGCCCTGCACTTGCCCTGCACTGATCGAAACTCTGATTACGATCTTCAATCCTAGTTTTTTTTTGGCAGTAATCAGTTAATCAAGCTTCAAGGTTTGTGCTAACACCATATCAGCGCTTCCGCGTACGTTATTCAATACGCTATGGTATGAAGGAATATCCCTCTTCATTCGTCTATGGTCTGTCTAGGGAAAGTAATTACACGACTGTCGCGAAAGGCAACAAGTTGGTAATGTAGGTGCCCCACCTCCCTCCATGCCAGCTAGCGACCTCTTTCCATATAGCGCTATTTTCACCATTGGTAACTCTGATCCACATGAGCCACGCTCCGAGGATACCATCTGCATACGTCACAGTGTTGCCCATGACGAACTTCCCTTTCCCATTGTATGACAGCCAGCCGTCTACAGCAACAAGGCCTTCCTTAGCCTTGGCCCAGTCAGCGTCACGCTGAGCGCCAGCAGGAGAGAACTCCTCAATCTTCTTCCCGTAGGTGGCTTCTCTGGTTGCTCTGAAGTACTTCTCACTGGAGGGATTCAGGATGTAGCAGCTGGTGGCGAGCTGGTAAGGCAAAACGCTTCCAATGCTTCCTATAACACCAGCCTCCAAAGCTGCCATCAACGGTTTTGTGCCGGGAGGAAACAAGGTTGTTCCACTCGGGTAAGTCGCATCAAGGTATTCGGCGATGAGGAAGGAGTCAGAAACGACCTTCCCAGTGTTGGGGTCATTAATGATGGGGAGGGTGTATGATGGGCTGCCATCAGCCTTGGTGCCTGTTGCTGGCGCCCCGATTTTTTTGGCAAGAGCTTCAATGTCAGGGTACTCGACCCACTCGGTCTTGTACGCAACACCCTTGATGTTCAGGGCCAATCTATGCAAGTGAGAAGTAAGCGACTGCATATATCATTGCATATATAGAGCACACACCGGGTCTTCCAGGTGTTTGGAGACCATGCATTCACCGACAAGGTCGAGGGGAGGTCGTAGAATATAATCGGAGATGGCATATTGATGGAATGAGTCTGGGTCTGCCATCTGGAAGGTCATTAATACCTGTTCGGGACTCCGCTATGGGAATGGATACGGTGAGTGCGTAGAAGACTTCTCTCACAATATTGTTCACTTCGCCACGAGGACGCTTGTCTGGCCCCCGACAAGGTGATGATGCGCGTGAGATATGGGAAAGAAATCACCATCATACATTGTTACTCGATGTCTTAGTGCTTTCGTAATGACACCAAAAAGTTGCGATCAAGAGACAGAATGAAACGTGACACGATACGGCCGTACGGCCAGATTTAACCATGAGAAGAGGCCCGTCAATTCTTATAAACCCTAAGTTTGGTTGTTACTTTCAAAAGCCACGGCCGCGACCCAGATGTCCGCCTCTCATGGCGCCTCTTCCAGCAAACCCGATTCGAAACGCCCTGGCCCTTATAGGCGGGCCCCACTGACCCGGCTCTCCAGGATAGTCCTGCGGGGACTCCCCCGTTTCGCGAGACCGGGGAAACCGTCCTGGCATGGAAGGACCTTCGTCTTCGTCGTTATCATTCTGATCATTTGTGTGTGGCTATTTTGATCCGGCGATTAATCAGCAGTCAGAACTCAGTCAGCTAAAAATCTCACCTCCAAATCAATGACAAGTGCTCCCATGTGCCACCCAGCAGCTGCTACAGCAAAGCAAAACATCTTATCCCTCTGTGCTTTCCCGTGACCAAAGCTGACCTCCGCGGGCTCGGAGGTGCCCGGAGGAAACGGACCGCCATTGGTGACAGCAGCTCTTCTGCGTTCTTCAGTTCTGTAGCCCCCAGGCTGACCAGGGGGAAGCATTCCAGGATCACCGAGGCCGAGTGCGCCTCGAGAATATTCACCCCACGTCAAAAGCTTTCCGGTGGATGTAAGAGCACCATAATGGTAATCTCCAAGAACAACAGAGATAACGTCGTTGTTTTGAAGTGCGGGGAGAATCAAAGGAGTCGAATCGGCATGTGTTTCGTGAGAACCCAAAAGAATGACAGAACTGGAACCGGGAGAATAAGCAACAAATGTCTGAAATTGTGCCGATATCTGGGAGACCCTTCAGCAACGTAGGAACGTTCGAAACTTTGCCGAGATAATTACATGAGATATTCGCAAGTTTTGCGGCGGCTTCAACTGAGAAGAGACATAAACGGGGTGCTGCTGAACCTTGTCGACTTCAGAGAAGTTAGGAAGCTGAAAACGTATGAGGCAAAGATTGTTCCACGAATAAAATTAACCTACATATTCCCATCTCTCAGACCGAACAGCAACATCGCTTTCAACAGCAATCGAGAGCACATGACCATGATTAGTCAAACCGATAAGCCTACTCTCCAAAGCTGCGAGCTTGATAAGTCTCGCGGGTTCCGCCGACTCCAATGGCAGCTCCGGCAGAGGAGGCAGGGGTGGTAACTTTGTGGGTTCTTCGCGAAGTTCCCATGTCGAGCATGGGATGACACCATCCTCTGTAGCGTAGGCTTTCGAATCCGCGGCAGCATCCATAGCTATATTTCGTGCAGCGATGATGTCTTTCAGAGGTGCAGCGAACGGCCACCAGACATACACATCACCAGATTTGGTAAGGACAGACGAAAAGTTCCAGCCGGATTCGACCAGCGCAGGTGTAGAATCTAACGTTGTTGCGTCGAACGCTGGTGTGACGAGCCTGAAGGGACGGCCCCAGCTTAAAAAGGTCCAAACATGATGCTGATCGTCCAGCGTAGTAGCATGTAGCCGCCCACAACTAATAAATGTGAACAAGTATTTGACTCGAGCACAAGAACACTCAAACCTGATACTCCTCGTGGGAGATTGCATGCCAAGCTTCAATGGTGTATGAGCTGGTTTTGCCGCCTCGGAGTACCCATCGTGTTGTAGAGCATACGAGGTGCCATTCAAAGTTCCTGGGTGCGATGTTAGTTTCCGTCCTTAATGTCGCACAATAATATATGGACTCACCCCACACGTACACGCTACCAGTAGAATCTAGTGCAAAGAATGCCCTGTTCAGAGTCCATGAGCGACTTGATCGTATAAGACAGTGATAACATACCACCCAGCAGCCGAGAGACTAACTATACGTGCGCCTGATTTGATCTGCAACTCAACTGGGTATGGGACATCACGAAGAGTTGTCGTTGGTATCTTCTTCAATCCTAATCTTCCCTTCGAGTGTTCCCTACATGAGAATAATCTGACTTAGCGGAAGGGTGACGGCATCGCGGAAAGCGGTGCTTACCCCCAAACATAAGTCTTGGGGTTGCGCAAACCTCTATAGAGATGTTTCCATCCGGTGATTCGTGCGGTCCTCTCATCCGTGAAATTGAAGTCTTCTTCCAACTTTCTCTTCCAGAATGTCTCATCGTCGCACAATCGGGCAAAGAAGTGATCTGTTTGTCCTAGATGAATGAGATCTGGGATAGCAAGCCAAGGCAATAAATTATCCAAAAGAACTTCGATGGGCAAGTCAGAGAGCATAGTCATCGCTTGAATGGTTGTAATACAAAATCACAGCGGGAAAGTCAGAGCGCAACTAAGAGAGCTGCGACTCGGGAGCTGCGGTGAGCTGCGGCATCATTGGCATGATGTCACGGCTCACGCGCACAAACTCACATGTTGCGGGGGGGTTGATCGATGCTACGAGGGGTTGCTTGGTAACCTGATTATGTAAGAAGTGGGGAACTAAGTGTTTTGAATGTCATGAAGCTTTGACGCGCACTTCGGGGAATCACACCGAAAAAGCCATCGCAAACTTGGACTAATTACTAGCGCATGGGTGCACTCTAGGCCGGGTGGCTATTCATACAAATATATGCTTCCTATCAACAACTCATCCACACATGCCTCCATTTTGCTTGAATCCTGTACGTAGCAAATACCGGTCGTTTGTAACTCGCAAGACCCGCGCCACACCCATCCTCTCAATCAGATCCTTGTGGTGAATTCTCTCATAGTGCTGATGACGGATATACTCAAATTTTTAATCATTTTCAAGCTAATTTTGCCATTGGAGCGGTACTTGGTACACAGCTTTGATGCGCGTTGACGCTTTCAATTCTAAGTTGGCTAACTCGGTACGGGGCTAGGCTCTATGCACGAATTAGGCGAGGTGGTGCGTACTTCTTGCTTCCGCCCACCTCGCAGCCAAATTATCTCTCGTCGACGCTAGTCTCGTCTTTTTACACCCACTCGCCACTTCCCATCGTCGCGAGGACAAATGTCAAGCATTAATATCAACACTTTGACAGTTACAAATGATACCGATTCCGTACCGTTTGTCCGACGCGTTGATGACCGCCGCTTCCCGAGTGTCGCTCTCACAGACGGCGGGCTGATCGGCCCACCTTCACAACAGGTTGGGGCCCTTTGATTCGGGCTGGAAAGCCCTATGTATATCCCTTAACAAACGTTCTGAATCCTCAATCCAACTCATAGTGCTGATTTTCAACTAATCCTATCATTTTGCTGTGCCACGCAGCTTTGACGTGCATGGGCTAGAGACTATTTTATGCTCAGATGTCAATTCAGAGTTTCGACAGACACCGGAGAATCACGCCGCAAAAAGTCGTCGGAAACTTACTCGAGGCGACTTACTAGTGCACGAGCGCACTGAGATCGCAGTACGTGACTATCTATATATGGTATGTCTACTTCTTGACATCCATACACGCCTCAACAATGTTGCTTGAATCCTGTACATAGCAATATAACCGGTCGTTTGTAACCTACAAGCCCCGCGCCACTTGGCGTCGCTCTTCTCGTTGTGATGGGAGACTAGACTCATAGTTTGTAATTTGAAGTCGATCAAGTCGAAGCCGCACATCCAGGGCTCGCAAGTCTGATGTAATTTCGATTCTACTTTGATGATACTCCTTTTTTGTAGATTGCAAATGCTGGGCTAGCCAGACATACTTCGCCGGCGGCGTAGCCAGGAACGATCATCAAACGCTATTTTGTGACCTGACCGTCCAGGGCATGGTGTAACATATCAAAAACGAGGGTTCCAATGTAAAGGGCGCCCATCGCAATCACCGCAGCACGTCTATCGTGACGGCAGACCGCTCAACTGATAGTGGCGTACTCTGTCTTGCATGTTGAGCATAATCCGCTATGGCTCCGCTCCGGTGAGCCAGGTGCTCCGTAATGACCTACTTCAGACTGATGGTATTTTTGCTCGGCTCCAAAGAGCCTCTTTCAGTATTGAAGGTACGGCAGACTACAACCTTGTTTAACGATGCAAAAAAAATTGTTTTGCTCGGTAAGTTGTTTAATCTGATAAGAGACGCCATCCTTACACATTATTGTACGATAAACGTGTCCAACCTGATCCACTCACGGTCGGACTTCTGACTGACCGAGGTAAGAGTTAAAAACGAGCAGTGATCCATATTTGATGATCGTAAAAATACATGAACTGCTTCTCAGATATGTGAAACGCAAGGAGAGATAATCAACTTCCCAAAACACGTGACGGCCGCCACCCCCCCACAAGGTGCTTGCGAGATCTAGAACGCAAAAGGAGGTCGGAAGCTTCCTTTCGTAAGCAATAGTCATGAAGCTTCTTACACGCATGACGTTTGCCCATTGATATTCCTTTATCCGTCTTTGAGAACAATTAGTGAAACCTTTATGTACTAAATTGAATCTGCAAACCTCAATTCTAAAGTTTGCCTACCGTCTGTATTACATAGATTATACATAATAATTCGAATTGCACTGTGGGGTCGAACCAAAGTACCCGCGGTACGAGTAAAATATGTACGTAAGATGAAGCCGCACGCAGACTTGACGTGCAGCCCCAGACGCCGTCTCGGTGTTCAAGTCAACCGGCAATGCGGAATTTATGCTGCACCCACATCATGATGCGCTATCATCGCCCTTCAAGTGCACGTGGGCCCATACCTACACGCAGCTCTTCGCCATGCGTATCCATTACGACACCGCGAGCGCCTCAAAGGTCATGAATATGATACAGCAGAGCTTTATCACAGGATCGAGTTTCACTTTTATGAAGAACTGCCACCTCGTTCGCAGGCATTCGTTGATCATAAGAAGAAGGGAAAAAAAAACGCTCGCAGTATGGGAACTGCTAGTAGTATAACCAGCTCATTAATGACCAGATCAAGTCGCACTGGCATGTCAGTTCATCTGCCTTATGCAGCATCACGTACTGAGTTCAGCTTTTTTTCGTTTCTTTCTGAAAGAACTGTTCTGTTCTGATCATTACCGGGTTGATGCTGACGCTTGCAGAATGATGAAAAGATTGTTCAATTGACAAGGGTGCGATTTTTTTCGTATGAGGCCTCGAAGTAAGTGCCTGTCTGTGGAGCGGAAACTTGCGGCCGCATGAGAACTGAGTCGGGGCGCAAACCTCGAAAGCACGGCCGGGCGTCGTCGCAGCAACAGTCCTTTGGGTCATGAGCGGCATGAGCGTGGCTCAATGCAGACAGGTGTGGCGTAACGTCGACCTCATGGTACCCTGGCACTGCACTCTAATATAAGCGATATTATCTTGCCCTGCATCAAACCTGCATTGCCAATAATTGCATAAAAAACAAAAGCTCACTCGGATGATGAATCTTCGCAGCGTTCAGAAAACTCTATCGATGAACGTGATCGCGATGGGTGCGGTCGTTACGTCATGTTCTCACGAGTTCGGAGCTTTCAACGTGCCCTCTATAGAAGTTTCATGATAGACCACAAGATGGGTGGCAAGCAGCCTGATCGTGCAAGTTCCAGCTCTTATGAGGGCTTGGGCTACAGTCCAGGGTCCAAGTACAGCTTCTGACGTCAGGAAAATCTGACTTTTGAAAATCTACGTTCCGTTTGTACACAAGTAACTATTACTAGGATGACAAGTATAATCTGTAAAGTACAGCTCCATGATTATTGGGCGCAAGGTCTCCTGTGTAATGTGAGGAGTCATCCCCAGACATGAACGAATAAAATATGAAAGCATAGGAAGCGAGAGGAAAAACTAGTAATGTATGTACTTAGTAGGATGCTAATACCATGAACAATATAACTTCAGAAAAGATGGAGGCGTTGATGCGTGGCATGAGAGGCATGGGCATCATCGGATTGCCGGTGGTATCGTGACAAAATCCCAACAGAAAGGAGTGCAATCGTAACTGCTCGTCTTCAAATCATCCACTCCGTCGCGTCTCCTCGTAACTTCCTATGCTTCCATGTCCAGAACCAGGTCGGTTGCCTGGGTACACACCATACGGAGCATACACATTAAGGTCCGTGCTCGCTCCCGTATGCTCATAACCTGGCAGAGGTGTCAAGAGCGTGCTGTTCGTCGGAAGGCGGGCCATGGCTGTGTGCGACGACGGTATATTTGATGAGTGCGTTGCGGTGTATGTAGGACTGCTAGTGCGAGAAGCAGACGGGAAGAGGCCACTAAAACGCTGTTGCCGACGTTCGTAAACGTCTTGCATATCAACTTCGTGCATTTCCTCCGGAGAGGCGGTTGGAGTAAACCGGTCAACATGGGAATTTTGCTGCGGATGAGAGCGAAGTTGGTAGTCCACGTCGGGATATGAGTCATGCATGCCGCGAGGGAGATAAGCATGATGAGTCGACCTCCCCATCACTGCTGACGCAGCAGCGCGAGCATCGGCTTCCTCCTTTTTGGACTTGCGCCATTGTTTACGAAGCTCTTTAAATTCTGCGAGTGCACAGTCAGCATCGGTGTCGAGAGGGTTAAAAATAATGACGAGAAGTCGAGATTGTCATCACGAGGTACCGATGACTAAAAGTAAACCGCAAGGATGAAGACTCACCGTTCGGACTACGCTTGACGCCGTGTTTCTGCATGGTGACGTGGGCATTTAGGTGGTTTAGAGTGCCGTATGCCTTGGTGCATGAAGGCCATGAACATTGATAAAGTCGTTCGATCTCGTCGTAGCGCCGCCTTGGACGCTTCTTGACAGCGTTTCCAGGGAGTGCGACAAACGAGTATTGTTTACCGTCAGAACTCGAGCCTGAAGCGTCAAGGAACCGCCTGGCGCCGTTGGATGATGTGGAATTGCCCGTACCAGGCGGTGATGGGCCATAGTCCTCGGAAAGGGCGCCGTAGGGCATTCCCATTGTTGGGGACCCCTCGCCACCCGAGAAATTAGGGTTAAGAGGTGATATGGGTTCTTCGAGGTCTACACCGTCGTAACAGTGTAATGCAAGTTGATCTTTGTCGTTCCAGGACGATCCCGAGAGTGGATCACGCCCAGACCCTGAACTGAGAGTGCGTTGCAGAGTCGAGGAGTAAGTGCCATACAATCTTGGGGAGGATTGTGACGACGTGTAGTGGTGCTGCAGCTGTTGATATCGCCCGGAGGCTAGATCGGCTGAAGAACTCGTGGAATAACCGCCTATTGCGCTGCCATACATGGCTGGCTCGGACATGCGGCGTTGTTCCAAGAGGGCATGGGCGTATTTATCGGTTCCACGGGAGCTAAGGTTCGACGTAATTGGGTAACGCACCATATCCGGAGGGGAATAGGAAGATGCCGATGTAGGAAAATTATGTTGGTGATGGGGAGCGCTGTACGGCTGAGGAAATGAAGCAGACGGATGATCGTCAACGGAAGAAGGTGAACTTGAGAGATAGCGAGTTCCGTTGACTGATGATGGAGGTTGGGCAGTGCGAGCATTTGAGGTGGAGGTGTAATTAGATGTTGGTGAAGAAGTATGGTATGGTTGAGGGGTTTCAGAAGATGAAGCTACGTCATACAAGTTATGAGGATCTGAATGAGACGATTCATCGAACTGTGGTCGGGAAGAGTATGTGTAGTTTGTTCCCGGAGGAGAGTAATCATCATGATCATTATCTACGGTCATGGGCTGAGGGGGATCCAGAAGGCTGGAGAGGTCGTGAAATAAGAAGTGTTGAGAGACGCGAGGACGCGTTTGATTAACTTGCTTATTTGCAAGAGCAAGAAGAGGTGGTGGTTGGAGGAGAAGTGGTGCCTGCATTGGATGCGAATGTGAAAGGCAGCCTGAAGAAGACGGAATCTAGCGGGATGTGTGAACCGACTTAGAAAAAGAAGAATGAACAAGTGGAATGAAATCGAGGGATATTGACACAACGAGATTGTCCGATTAGGTGGAAGAGTTAATATACGTTACGGGAGTGGAGTAATAAAACATACGAAGGTTTTACAAACATGAAATATCTGGTATCAAATCAAAGCACCGGAATGAAATGAATCGGAGGGCGTACTATCCGCAACTGTTTCGTCCAGCGCGCGGGCAGGTGCAGCTATGAGCTGTGTACCAAGCGGTTCGCGCTGATCGTTGTCTTCTCTTCAATTCAATATTATAATGTCAAATCTAAGATCAACTTCCAATTTCAAATTTTATATAAAAAATAAATCATCCGGAACATTATTTCTATATTTAGTAGTTTACGTGCCAATCGTCTCAATGGCGTCCCGATTTTACCGCCGCACATGACCAACCCATCGGTCACCCAGATGAAAACCGCACACTCCAGCGTCCACCACGGAAGTTCACACAAACTCTGCTCTTCTTACAATAATACCGTTATTGTTGCGCGCAGAATTCCATCACGAAGCACGATAAGGCGGCCCGGTCACACTTTGGTCACACACTTTATCTCCAAAAGTGCGATCGCTAGTTTAAACTACAGCCATGAATGGAGCATATGGCACCCACCGCCAAATTGTCTGCACATCTCCCTTTATGCTCCTGGTTGGTAGCTACACTGGTCATCGTTTGACAGGATGACTCGCATGGCGGTGAAACTACTAATTGGCATCGTTGATGCGCCGCGTACAACCCTCGAACAGCCAGTCCTGTCAAACTCTGTCGGCAAGGTGAGCGTACAGAGCGATCGGCAGATATTGAGAAACCTTAACCCAGCGCCACTTTGCACTCGGTGATTAGATCTCACAAGTGATACTCCGGCATCAAGTTGGGCCCGTATGTTTCAAACAGAAAGTGATACCCCATTTACCCCCGATCTGATGAGTCCCCAGGCTCGGATCAACTGGCATCATTGTCAGTACAATTTCCGCATCACGAATAATGATATGATGACAAACGTTGCCGAAGTTTCAAGTCCGAGGCAGGCTTACCACCGCAACCTGATGGACAGGCACGACGTCGGGTAGTTAACAACCCTCCGCACTGCGCAAGACTCGGAGCCATCGTTATGGATAAGCAACCTGTGCAGAACATTTGCAGAAAGTGTTTTGCTCAAGGCCGTTAAGAAGGTGATAGACGACTAATAAGCGCATCTCAGCGTACCTGATGCTGCATGAGAGTTTCAGTCCTATCGAGGGTGATAAAGAGGCATTAAGAAATATCCTTATTTGGATCACAACTTGGTTTTCGGCATAAGACTCAACGGCTCCGCGTCGGGAGAAGCACGAACTCGATATAGATGAATTAGTCGGCCGCCTCGCCTTGTCGGGTCGGGCACTGCATAACTGAGTCTCGACCCTGTAAATCCAATGCAACCACGCGTCCGCGTCATCGACGGTCCGCTATGCCATTCTTGCGCAGTTCACCTAGAAATACGTACTGAACGCGTGGACAATGTACATCATCCAAACTTAATTACCTCGAGCTGCTCAATCGGAACCTTGAACCAGAATTAGCAATAGCGAAAACAGCGGGCCATGTCCGGACACCGGTATGCCTCACGCTGACCATGTGGTAAAAGTTCTAATTGTGAGTAGCCGAAGTATAAGTCAATGTTATGGAATGGCGCCACAACGAACGAACCCACTTAATATATGACATGCTCTTATGTGAAGGAAACATTTCGAAGGCGCCAAGGTCTTCTCACTCATTACGAACTTTCATCAAACCACAGCACCTTCCTAATACAGCTTACTCATCTCACCCGAGCGCGCTTCTGCTGCCACAACGATGAGCAGAGCATCTCCTCGACTGGCACACAGGCCGATGACAAGGAGTATGACGGCACTTACCGTCAGGCGCTCCACAAGGCTTAGCGGGGTGCAAGGTAAACTCACAACAAACTTTGATGCCAAGAATAAATCACCCGCTAACTCGTCGATTGACGTATACATTACAACTTGGGATCATAGTTCACGCGAATACTATATCCAGTGCGCCACAGCAGCAGCTCATCAGACGCAACATAAACGACCGCGTAACAAAAATAAGCAGACGTGCAGAGCCTCTACGGCGGCAGTTCAAACATGGGAGACACCGCGCAGCTTGGGCTGCAGTAACGACAACGCAGGATGTCGGCCAAGCTAGTAGTACTGCTAGTGCTATCGGTTGTCCATCCCCTTCCAGTCCCCACAGTACTACTAGTACTTCTAACAATGTCCTCTCCGCCCGAGAAACGGAATTAATCCAAAAGGAGAACGAGTTCCGATTGAAATCTCGCAAACTCGAACAACAACTCGTCACTGTATCTCAGAAGGAGAGAGAAGCAGTTGCCTTGTTCCGAGAATGCAAACAACGGCTCGAGAGAACCACCATAAGGCAACTCGAAGACTATTTTACGTGTCCATTGTAAGTACCTCATCAAAAAAAAAAACTGAAACATTACAAGGTGAACTTAATTAATCATGTCTAGGTGCTTCGAGATCATGTGAGTCCGTTCAGATGGACGACGCTACCTAGATTGATTGATATATAGGGCGTGCCCATATAGTTTGAACCCACGACAGTGCGGCCATACCTTTTGCGCCACTTGCATCCTGAAATGGTTCTTCTCCCGATTGCATCGTGTGTGTGGCAGCTGGCATGAACCCGTGGACTGTCCAATGTGTAGGAGTGCATTATTGTCCACCCCAGATAACGTTCCGCGTCCAGAATACTCGTTCCCCTTCACACCAAATAGAACGGCCGATAACGCAATCTGTGGCATGATCAACGCTCTCGCCAAGGAGGCTGACTCTGCAAATATCTCTCCGTCTAGCCCTCTTGCAGACTGGACAGAAGATGGTCATGCAAGGCAAGAATGGCGTCGAAAAGAAATGTACGCTGCTCCTCAGATATATATTCATGATTTTTTTCCTCAAATGCACCGTCTTGATTAGAGCTGGACGCAATGAGATGACGTCTCTCGCTACGTCGTGGACAAACATGCACGGGGACGAATTTATTGCCATCAAAAGAAGACTTGAAGTATGAATTCGCGGAAAATGACTTGTATTTGTATCTGAATGGGTGAGGTTTGCATCAAGACAGGAATGGAGCGAGTACGGAAGGGACGAAATGACAAGTACTTGTTACCATTTTTATCAAATTGCACTTATTATGGTTCACAGATTCACTAGGAGACATCATTGTTGACTTTTTCTTTTTTTTGTAAACCGATGATTTGCAAATGTACAACTATCGTGGTGTATATACAAACAGTGAGACCTGCCACGGTGACTCGTCCATAATACTACAGATAGAAACAACGCTCTCTTAACCCGCGCATACCCAGAACATCCTGAACGTCAATATGAGATAAATCCGACTCGGAGCAGTGGCGACTTAGCACGTACCCAATCCGTAGGTGTCACCCAGATATCAGCGACAGAATCCATTTTACCTAGAACAGCGGCACCTTTCCACGCCAGTACACGAGGGTCAACCTCTTTTGGAGGGGGGATGATCTGAACCTTGTCCATGCTCGGGACCAATGGAGTGGCGATTGCCTGCAGCCTGTTCTCAATGGTTCAATATATCTGATGTGCGGATATGTTCCGTGACTTACCTGCTCTCCAGCGCATGAGCCATTCCAGGTATCAAAGCGCTTCCCCCGATGACCAGAACAGCTTGGAGGTGCTTGCGGATTTTATCATCGCCTCCGGATGCCCTCGCACTGTTGAAGATAGCAACATCGAGAGGAAGTTTACTTGCTTCAAAACAGACATCGATACCAAGACCACCGTAATTCGAGTTCACTGGTACGGAAGACTGAGAAGCTTGAGGCTGAGGAGGAACAGTGATAGGAGATGGTTTAATGTCGCTCTCTACATCAATTACTTCCATTGGGGCATCAGCAGGAACTCCCTCCGATGCTCCTATAGTAGATTGTGCAGCCGGAGGTGGTGTTGCATGCGCAGTCGATGGCAGTGAAACCTCCTGCTGTTCTTGTTTTCCGCCGTTCTCTGCAACCACAATAATTCCAGTCCCAGTCTTTGAATACAGCTATAGCATTACGTACCATCCTGTGACTGGTTGATAGGAATCGGAGAATGACGGACGTCCGTGGGGGCTGTAGAAGGCGGTGGAAGTAGATGTTGCGTTGAGATGATCATCGCTTGAGTCTGACGGCATGATGTAAATAGACCCTATCCGTGGTCAGAAATACGTACGATATGGTCTACCGGATGCTCTATAATTTCTTCAGTGACATCCGAATGGGGTATGGAGCGCAGACCAATGTGCTTCCTGTCGAACTCTATCACACGGGGCTCGAATATGCACTATGTAAGTATCGAAGGGGCAGTCAGATTGATGAAGGCCTGTTGTCAGCGAAACGCACCATGGGCGCAAGTATGATCTCGTCATATGCTCGTAGGCCATACTTTTCCGTGGGTTTACCGGGCTTGCGTACTACAAAGTCATACAGATTGAGGGCAACATCGCCCTACAACACCCTAAGCAGTGACAAAGACATAATTGTGATGACTCACCTCTGCCAGTGTGCATAGCCGTGCTTTTAAATCCTCCATGACGGCCCAGTCATACCATCGCGCGAGATTAATATCGCGATAGGGAAAACTTATTCGTTCCAAGAGAACGTACAAGAATTCAGTAATATCGTCTCCACCCATATTGAGCGTGATTCTGACCGATGGTCAGCGGTAAACTCTGCATCTGATGTATACCTTACCTTGAATCAGGAATAACAAGACCTTCATCCACACATGCTATGCTCGAGTTGACAGCACCAATGTCGACAACGCAAGCATTACTAATTCCGGCGCCGTAAGTTGCCGCCAATGACTCCTGCATCATATTAGAACTCGTTGATATTTATATTCGCGTCACACACCTGCTGCACGCATATCTGCTTAAAGCCCAATGAAACTAAAAGAACGTTGACGAATTCACGGACGTATGCCCGATCATGGAAGTCTGGGATAACAAGAACGACAGAATAGTCCTAGTAGTATTGAATGACACCAAATATATGTGGAGTGAAAGATGGCAAACCTTGTAATCAGGTCGCCTCACGTTGAACTTCTCACTTAGTACAGTACTGATGATAGTTTCAATGTCATCTAGTATCATCTGGTGTGACGGATAATCCCTGGTATTGAAGTTCTTTCCATGGATCGGCCACTTCACTGAATAATTCAAAAGTTGAGGATCGGACAACCGGAGTGCCTAATACGAAAGATTGAGAATAAGGCCTATAGTTAAAGTTTGATACACACTCGTTCGCCGACTAGAAATTCTGAATCTTCCAGGGGGTCCTGGATCCAGTCGACAATGTACGGGTCATTGGCTTCGGGGATAATTTCAGGTTTGAATTGTTCGTTGAAGGTCGACGCGACCTTTGCCGCGTTGCATGTGACGCGAAGTTTGTAGAACCTCATCCGCTCGCGAAGAGAAACAATGATTGATCCCACTTTGGCATCAAACTGTATGAGCACCTTAGTACACTATGCGGCATGGTGAAGGAATGAAAGTATGTACAGGATCATCTGAAGTTATATCGACCGCATATTCGTCTCCGTCGGGACCCGCAGACACGGATAGCTGTGGCACTTGCCCTTTCCTCGGACGCGAAATGCCCTCGACGTATGTCGGAGATGGTACCGGTGGTTTGTGTCTGCGCGCAATCACATTTGGAATGGATGCAGGTGTGACATCTGACGCCCTGCCAATTCTTAGAAATCGCGATCCGGGGTGGATAACAATAACATGAGAGCCACGCCTATTCTGAGCGGTTCAGTATTAATATATGAAAGATCAGCCCAATCATGCAAACTGCCCACCTCTGTTCTGGTGAAGGAGCAATTTCCTCTGCTACCAATTCTTTCTTTCGGGCTGCATTACGCGACCAAATTGTCTGTGACTCCGATTTCAAGTAAGAAGTGCCCACATGCTTAGGGTTTGGCCTGACACGACCGTCAACACTTGAAATGTAGTCGTGATGTCAACGTACGCCAGGGGCACATGCATAGACGTGTAACGCATGCCAGAGTCATCTTTTTTCGCGTTAGGCATTCCCCTCGGCATATGGTGCTGTATTTAGATTGTGCAGGCGAAAAGTAAAGGAAACGAGTGCAAGTATGAGACAAGTGGTGGATGTAATCCTTTCTGGAAACTGAAATGATCGATCGGCTTCTGCCGGCGGTTGGATGACCGAAGGGAACTTTCAACTTTCCCTCATGACAGCTAAAAGACAGCAAACATGCAGATGGCTATTGTATAGGTACAGAAATGTAGAACATGTGGATATCTATATGAGATGGACGAGAGAAAAAATACCTACTACCAAAATGCACACCTATAGAATATATTTGAGCTCAACACAATCAGGACAACAAGTCGTCTTACCATCCGGAAAAGCATTGGCAGAGGTTCTCAAGCGAGGTGGCCTGCAAGATTAGCTTATCCACTTGAGCAGGAGCAGGAAGGACGATATCAGGGTTGAAGTCACGCCCTGTTAATGGAGGGAGATCATCAGTAATGCAAAGGTGCAAACGGACGGGAGAAGATGAACCTGTAAGCTTGTGCTGAACACGGTTGTAGACAAGTAATGCCCGCTCGTTCCGGACCTCTTGCCTCGCTCCAGGCCCGTCGACGACCTCTGCAAAAAAAATCAGTTTATCCCTTCCGGGCGTACGCTGAATGCATACCATTGAAAATATCGTTTTCATCCGCGCGAAGCTTGCGGGTTGGACCTTGAGGATATCCCGACACTTTAGCAAGTTCAGCAGCACGAGCAGGATCAGTTTCGCCATCTGTGTTCGTATGAGCCAGTCGAATGATAAAAATAAAACGAGGCACACCTTCTGGTCGCCGTGAGTCGACGTCAGCTTGCATAAGCCGCCAATTAATCAGGGGATCATAAACAAAGGCCTCCAGGACTGCCATCAGGGACTCCTTATTTTCGCGCAGCACGGACATGGTGATTTCGCAGGTATGCCGGAAACTTCCTTCAATGCCACTTATCTGTGACGTCAGTGAGCTTAGGAATGCATACGACCAGTTATACAAATTACCTCCATGGCATGTGTAAGCATACGAGTAAGTCTGAACGGAATTTTCTCCGGGAACTTCTCGCGATGCATAGCAACTTCAAAGCAGTCACCGAAGTCGATATGAACAACTTTGCCGGTCGTGCGCACCAGTAAAAGATTGGATGGATGGCGATCGCCGAGACCCAAGATATGGCCAACCATGCTGTTCACTGCCAGAGAGCGGGTATAAGTCGCACGGCGTTCAAGCCAGTGCTCTGAATTTGCACTCTTCAGCCACAGGACACGATAAAGATCCTGACCCGTAGTATTCTCTAGCGCATATTCAAATACTTCGACCTTTTGTAGTAGCGTTAGGTTCTCATAGTCCGGTGCCATCTGGGATATATCAGCAGATGACACACACCCTTTAAGTAGTAATAAATACCTGGAGCATCAGTCGATACTCTATGTTCAAAAGAACTTTGCGAGAGTCTCGATAGTCACGAACAAGGACATGCAAAGTATCGCTATCCTTTACCCAGCCCATAAGACCAGCGTTGGGCGCCAATGGTATGATAGAGTAACGCTGGATGTGTAAGCGTCGCTTGAAGCTATTGGTGTCAACCGACAGAAGGGTATTGACAAGGCTGAACAACTGCATAACACGCTCGTCTTGACGCAAGTCTTCATGTCCTGTATATAAATGAATAAGCAATGTAGCAGTGCTGGGGTGACCATCTTGTTACCTTTCAAAACATATTGGTAGTCCTGGCCATCACTGCCCTTCAGGGATAGTCGCCGTGGCCGCTGCTTGGAAGCTATAACAGTGAGCTTAGTCGCGAATGATGCAATGCGAACGACGTCTCGGCCGCTCTGATATGTTCCTTAAGTTGCCCGATGAGTACAGCGCAGTACTAACGTAAAATCCAAGGTGCATACCGGGCATCGCTAGATCAAGATCGCGGGCTTTTAACAGTTGCGGTGATACATATTGCAGGTCCAATGTCGTCAATTGGGGTAACTGCTTCTCCACTTTTCTAAAGACCTGAAAAGACACAATATAAACAAACAAAGTTGATCATCTACTTCCCTGACTTACGCCATAGTAGATGTCCCAAGCCTTGTTCAGCTCCGACATCTCGCCGAATGCGCGATATCGCCGACAAGCTTCCCGAGCTTCATGCAAGTCGCGACCAAATGTTTGTGCGAATGATGTTTCCCTAGCTGTTGTTGGCCCCTAGTCCGTGATGCCTGAGCAATCTGACTGATAAACTCCAAGTGAATGCACTTACAGCCTCGAGCATCTCATGAAGGGGCTCCAAAGTCGCAATC